GAATGCTTTCTTGAAGTCTCCAAGCGACTTTGCTCTCTTGAGAATATCCTTAAGGGTGACTGCGTCCAGGCCTTTTGCTTGCATCAGCAAATATCCAACGGGATGTTCGTATAAAATATGTACCATAAAAAAATTGCAGAGACTCAGAAATATTTCTTTAATTTAAATTCGAACTTTCTGAAAATTTTAACGTACATATGAAAGAAAAAGGAGAAAATTTCTATCGTACAAAAGAGAAGCTGGTCCAGTGGAAGATGCTCCGCGGAGGCAAGCCTGTCAGAGACTCGAAGGGAAACATCATAAAAGCAGCGCAGTTCCAGAGCCCAGTGGCAGAGCCGGGGAGAATCCAGCACTCGAGATCGTGGTTCTCCTCAACAAGAACAACAGATCAGAGAGAGCTGGAGGCCTTTAGACAGGACTTAGCGAACACAGCATCTGATGCATACAAGGTGATACTCGACCAGGGAAAGGTGCCGATGAGCTTAATACAGGACAGCAAAGAGAAAGCAATACGCCCCATTATCTCGTATGAAGACACTTTTGGAAGAAAAGCCACGCGAAAGAAAGTAAAGCTCACAGTGACGTCAATGGAAGAGCTCGCTAAAAAAGCAAATGCCTCTGTTGGCGTAAAAGAAGAAAAAGAAAGAGAAATGCTGGACAACAAAGACAGAGTCTATCTGAAAGGGCAGAGCAGGAGAATATGGGCTGAGCTGTACAAAGTCCTGGACTCGAGTGATGTGATAGTCCACATACTCGACGCAAGAGACCCCCTCGGAACAGAGTGCAAAAACATAAAAAGATACATCAATGAGCACAAACACAAACACCTGATCTATCTGCTAAATAAGGTAGATTTGCTTCCAACTGGTGTAACTGCCAAATGGCTCGCGCATCTTTCAAAAACCACGCCAACCCTCGCATACCATGCAGCATCAATTGACAGAAACTACGGAAAACAGAGTTTGCTGAATTTGCTGAGACAGTTCGCAAAACTGCACCCGGAAAAAAAACAGATCAGCGTGGGGTTTGTGGGATACCCAAATGTTGGAAAAAGCAGCATCATCAACACCCTCAAGTCCAAGCTCGTGTGCACAGTGGCTCCAATACCCGGACAGACAAAAGTGTGGCAGTACATCTCTCTCATGAAGAGAATCTACCTCATCGACTGCCCAGGGATAGTGCCTCCTGCAGATAAAGACGAAACAGCAGTAGTCCTGAAGGGAGTCGTGCGGGTGGAGAACGTAACATCGCCAGAAGACCACATAGAAACGCTTCTGAAAAAAGCAGACAAAAAGCACATTTTTAATTTGTACGGGATAGAGCCAAGCGGAGATCATGTGGAGTTTTTGGAGGCACTTGCCAAGAAGTCGGGAAAGCTGCTAAAGGGAGGCATACCAGACATATCAGCTGTGTCCAAGACTGTCCTGCACGACTGGCTGAGAGGAAGAATACCCTACTATGTACTGCCGCCCGTCTCTGCAGAAGGCTCAGAGGAGAAATAAATAAATGTGATAAGAAGCATATACATCTACGGTTTTTAGTGTGCGGAGGCTAGGGAGCTGCTGCAGATAGGTTCCAGGAAAGAGAAATTCTTTTAATTAAATATTTAATAAACAGCATCTGAAATACTTTGCAATAGAGTGAAATATTTTTTACAATGAAAAACAAAGAAGAGAAAAAAATACAGCCCGTCCCAGCAGATATTAAAAAAACAGCAAAGGACAGAGCCGCAGGCAAGAGCAAACATCCGCACAGAACAAAAGAGAAAGAGATGTCTGCGAATCACAAACAAGGAGAGATAATAAAAATTAGAGAAAAGATAGACACACTGCTGGAGAAGATAGAAAAAATAGAAAAATCTGGCGCAGCGGAAGAGAGCGCAGAAAAAGAGAGAGCAGAAAAAGAGAGAGAAAAGGCCAAAGAAGAGACACCGTCAGTGGAGTTTAAGCCAATGGAGAACACAAAAAAAAGGCCAAGAGACTTGTGCAGTGGTGACAGCGCCAAATCGCACAAGTGGACAGACTACAAACTGAAAAAAGAAGTGCTTTTGGGCATCCAGAAAAAAGGGTTCAGCTGGCCCTCTCCCATACAGGCCGCAAGCATCCCGCACTCTCTCAAAAACCAGCACATCGTTGCGCGCTCGAAAAACGGAACAGGAAAGACCGCAGCATTTATCATCCCGCTGCTCAACAAAATAAACCCGCACTGGCTTTCTCTGCAGGCAATGATCCTCGTGCCCACGCGCGAGCTGGTTTTGCAGACGGCAAAAGTGTGCAGAGAGCTTGGAGAATTTTTGCGCCTGAAAATAATACCACTGTACGGCGGATTCGGAGCCAAAGACGACATCATTCGGCTCAGAGGAGGAGCACACATTATTATCGGCACTCCCGGAAGAGTCCACGACTTCCTAAACCAGAGAATAATCAACTTAGATCGGTGCACACACCTCGTGTGTGATGAAGCAGACAAATTGCTCAGCGCAGATTTTAAGGAAGTGGTCTACGAGATAACAAGCCTCTTCCCAAAGAGGAAGCAGATAGAAATGTACTCAGCAACTTTTCCTGCGATGATACAGAACTACATCGACACGTATATGCCAAATGCAGTAAAAATAAACCTCATGAAGGAGCTGACTCTCTCGGGGGTAAAGCAGTACTATGCGTACGTAAAGCCAATTAACAAGCTGCACTGTCTGAAGACAATCCTTTCCAAGCTGAGCCTGCTAAACCAGTGCTTTATCTTCTGCAATTCAATACAAACTGTTGAGCGGCTCGCAAAAAGAATGACAGAGTTTGGGTCAGCTGCGTACTACATACACAGCAAAATGAAGCAGGAAGACAGAAATCTGGTATTTCACAATTTTACTCTGAAAAGTGAGTGCAGGATTCTTGTGTCCACTGATCTGGTAACGCGGGGGATAGATGTGCCGAGCGTAAATGTGGTGATTAATTTTGATCTCCCAAAAAGCACAGAGAGCTATCTCCACCGAATTGGCCGAAGTGGGAGGTTTGGCACGGAGGGCATAGCGATAAACATGGTCACCCCTGATGATGTCCCGAAAATTCGAGAGATAGAGGCTGATCTGGGCATTGAAATACACCCGTTTTCCGATAACATATAAATAGTACACACTAATTTTGAAATAAATTTATTTTTTCTTTTATCTTCTGCGAATCTTTTATTTCTGCAGCACAAATAATCAGGAAAACAGAGCTCTCCTGCGATCTAAACTAAAAATATTCAAAAGTTCGTCCGTTAAATCTGTTTATTATAAGATAGTCTTATAGATCCACTTTGATTTCTTCTGGCACTGCTGAAGCTTCTGCCTTCTTGGTCTCTGCCGCGGGCTCGAGAGTCAGGTCTGCAGGGACATCGGCGTGTTTCTTAAGGAACTCCAAAATGCTTTCTGCATCTGCCGGCTTATCGAGTATTTCCAGCTCAACTTCCTTGTTTGTTCCTTTTTTGTATACTCTTATCGTGGGGTATGCATTAATTGGCTCCAGCTCGTCGTGCAGAGGCAGATCGTTCCTGGACATAAGCATCTTTCCGATGACAATGTCGCTGGAAATGTTTTTCAGCGCAGCTGCGACTTTGTCCAGCCCTGGGATGAGGTTCTGGCAGAATCTGCACCACTCCGCGTAGTAGACAACAAGTGTATCCACGAGTGGGTTGAGCACAATCTCGTCAAATGTGCTGTTTACAATGGTTGTTACACCGCTTTCATTTACCATCTCTGCGTCTGAGGGTCTTGGCTCTCCCATGAGGTACGGCGTGAGGCTCTCGAGGTTGTTTGCACAGGTAGTCAGGAACTCAGCAGCTGCACTGTTATTTTCTGCATTTGGCAGTAAATATTTGTACATTTTGTTGTTCTTCTGGGATATCAAGAAAAGAGCGGGGAGCATCTTTTCGTTCACACCGGAAAGATTCAAAAAGAACTCTGTGGTGGTGTAGTCTAGCTTTGCAACTGAAAGGGAAGACTTGAGGCTTTCAGCTATGGGCTGGCACCAGTCGTAGTTGCCAAATTCGCTGGCTCTGGAGACGAAGTACACAATGGGGATGGGGATGTTCTCGTACATCTGCGCATTGTCCTTGTGCAGCTCTCCAAAGACCGGGAGCTTGGCTATCTCGCCTGATTTCTTCAGTTTTTCGCTGACTTCTGCAAAACTTTTCTCTGGAAGATCGAATGTGTACTCCTCTGTGTTTAATTTATAGTAGAGGCCTGGCATTGTCACGCCCAGCGACTTGGCTCTTTCTTCGTCCGAGCTAATCTCCACTTTGTGGGGGAATTTGCTCATTTCTTCATCGGTGAATGAGAGGTCCTTGGAGAATATGACGATTTCTCTCTGCACTTCTTCCTCCTTTGCTTTCTCCTCCTCTTTGGCCTTTTCTCCTTCTTTTGCCTCTTCTGGGGCTTCTCCCTTGGCTGCTGCCTCTTCCAGTATCTTTTTAGCCACTTCTTTGGACATTTCCACCATTTCTTCCGGTGTTTCTGTCATGTTGGGGTGATTCTTTGCTGCGTCTTTCACAAAGTCTTCAGCTGCTTTTCTCGAGATTTCGTCTATCATCTCCTGCACTGACTTCTCTGCTTCTTCATCGTGGGGGAGATCTCTGCTCTTTCTCTCCGCTTTTTCGCCTGCTCCGAATCCGTGCGCAGACCCCTCGTCTTCATTCGCGTAGTCAGCAACTGAAAGCCTAGCGGTAGATTCGCCTGCGTTGGGCATTTCTACCACTGAGTCCTTCATATTTGCTACCTCGCAGCGGACTAAGCCTGCCATTGCTCCAATGCACGCTAACACTGCTATGTTGATTTTCATTATAAAAAAATGATTCTGAGAATATATGGCTTTCATGTGGCCGGTTTGAGAAAGATTGCAAATTTAATAAAATGTCATTAAGCTGTATTAAAATTTAATTTACTTTGTTTACATGTCTTGGGACATTCGGTGCACACAGAGGAAGTTCTTTGTTGAGAAAATCTTTGCAACAAGAATCTACGTTTCCTCTCCGGTGGAAAGAATCCTCTTTGCCTCTTGCCACTTTACAGGCGTATACTTAAAGAGAAACACTGCAGTGCCATTTCTTGAGACAGAGAAGGTTGTTCTGGGAGTGAACACCGCACAGATAGAGAACGTGGAGTACTCTCTTTTTCTGCCAAAGGACATTCCGCCCAGTTACAGCGGTGCAAACATAGCTGTGGTCTACAGCCTGAACATCCAAGTGCAGGGAACAGAGAGCACATACAATACGACCATTATGTGCTCTGTTGTTTCTGGCATTCCTGTGAGTTTTGAAAGCTCTGCCAAAATGCTTATCTCCGAGAAATACGCAAATGTCAGAGATCTACCAGACGAAAAGAGTCTCATTGCTGCAACAAATGCGCACGAGAGGTACTGCTACGAAGAAATAGTGAACAATCTGCGAAAGCTAAGCATAAACAGGATAGAGCCTGCTGAGTTTATTCTGAAGAGTAAAAAGGTAGATGAACTCCTCAAAGAGCCGCTCAGCCAGGTGTGTGCACAGGCAAAGGCCTTCTGGGTTGTGGAGAAAGAGAACACTCACCACCCACTAGATTTATATTCTAAAATTTTAAAGTACGCACCAGCACAGAGCTCCAGACAGTCTTTTTACTCCATTCGGACACAGGGCATAGAGTACGCAAAGCTTCTGCTCTCTATTGTAGAAGAAGAGCCGCCGCACTGTTTGTTGCACCTGTCTATGGAAGTTCTTGATCCGATTGAAAATATACGCATCTCTTTGGTGCAGGTGGAGACAGTTGAGGAGACAGAAGAAAAGTCCAGCTTTTTTACCACTTCAAAAAATATACTATTCGCAAAGAATGTGGAGTTTGCCATTCCGCTGGACAGAGCACGCAATCCGACAATAGTAACACCAAACTTCAACACACAGGTCGAACTAAAGCTGGAAATAGATAGTAAGCAGCCGGTTCGAATAAAAATAAAGTAGAAATTGTAAGACTGGCTACTGCGATGCACCTACGCAGAGTAAAGAAGTGTGGGCCGTTGTGTTATAGATCTTACAGAAGGGAAGAGACAGGTAAATATTATAGAAGAGAACCAAGCTCTGCTGCCTTTCTGTTCTGGTGACTTATTTAGAATGAATTTGTTTGGAGAAAGTAAAACTGCACTATAGAAGAGTCCATTGAGTGTGCTGCACATAGCCTAAGAGAGATAGAGCTTCTACTTAAGATCTTTGTTTTGCTCAACAATCAGTAAATGTGGCTTGTTTTCAACTGTATCTCTACTTCTTTAGCACATTCTTCGTCTATAACTAGGGATAAGTGTGTAGTCTACATAGAATTGAGATAATTATTTTACTGATTAATTTATTTTAAAGTATACCTCAGACCAAAAGATTGGTTTATTTATTTACTGTTTAGATAATTAGTAGTTTAATTTCAGACACTACAGCTTCATTTAAAATTTTAATTACGCTATGGTTTATTAAAAATCCTTAGCTCTGCAAGTGTTTCTAAAAATAGAGTATAGTGCTCATCTTTGCACTCACATACTACAGCTGCTACAGAGGAACTCTGCACAGTTCTTTGCAATCAGAGACAGGAGGGACTGTGCAAAATGTTTTTCGAACAGAAAGAAAGTGCAAAATAATTTATTGAAATCATCCACAGCTAAATGGAATGTGTGAGCAATCGATTTACTTTTAAGTAAAATGTTCTACAGAGGATTTATGTGGGGATAATATACCTCCTGATAGGACAGTGGCTGTTTTACGCCAGTAAAAGATCATGTGTACCCCTGCCTCCTCGAATCAGAAAATAATCAGAAATAATGCTAATTAAAAAAAGGAGAATTTAAGTAGAGATATTTTTTTAAATAATGAAAGACTTTTATACAATAGCTTTAACGGAATATAAAAGCTGCATTAGCGCAATGGAGGGATCATATTGTGCCAACATTGCTTTTTGTGCATTTTTAGTGGCATTTTATTCAATCATGCACGGCATATACAAGCCATTCAAGCGGCACGCAGAAATAAGACACTTTGGATTTCTTCTGGCAAATATAATTTACTTGGTGGCCATTGTCGTAGGTCTTGATAGCAAAGGATTTCTCTTCACGCTGGGAGGGTTTGCATGCGAAGCATCGGGATATATAACCAGGAACAGACGCATGCACAAATATTTATTCATTTTTTCTGCTATTTTTATCTACACTCTATACATCTTGCTTCTTGCAGGAGTACACCTCTATGCTAGCCTAGCTGCATCCACTGCTCTTTCGGTGGGCGCATCTTGTCTATACCCAAAGCTACACGATGTATACACAGTAACACACATACTAAACCGCTCTGTGCTGATACCTTTGATCTTCTACAGTATTGCTATGTTTTTTACGCACAAAGTTCCCACAATTGAGTATATTGAAAATGTTTCACTATTCTTCATCAGCGGAACATTCACCATTCTGCTGGCCCAAGCCATCCGAAACAAATATAAAAAATCAATTTAGTGTTGCCAAATAGCACATAAAAGACCGAGCATCGGCTCTTTTAATAAATATAAAAATGAATAAAACATAATAGAGATTACACATAAACATTCTAATTACTGCATACCTGCTACAAACCACCAACTTTCCGCTCTGTTTATTCTATGGAAGTAATTTATTGCACACTTTTACCATCTACAAGCTCTCTTATCTGTTCCTGCACAAATTACCAAACATTTCAAGCTAGCTCTGGCCTGTAAATCTTTCTGAACTCGAGCACCACAAGAACTAGAGATATAAAAAAGATCATGGAGTTTATAAATATGTTGCACCCAGGAATGTCAAAGAGTGTGGGCCTTACAGAGAATATTGCACACTTGAGCAGTATCGTGTACAAGAGACACAGCATAAATACGAACATGGTCTCAATGAGCGGGGAGTGCGGCCTTTCCGTCTCCTTAATGTCCACTCTGATAGTCTCAGCAGTAACGGTGTAGTATTTGTTCAGCTCGTGTCCCTGTCCAGACGTGAATATCTCGCTCCATATGATCGCTGAAAACTCTTTCACCGATGCGCTGAATGAAAATCTTCTTCTAAGCCCTCTGCGCATTAGAAAAAGAAAAAAGTCGAGCTGTGTAGTTTTGATTCTGGCGAAAAATGGGGGAACACGGGGACGAATCATTTAAAAGATATATAAGAGCTTGCAAAGCCAGGAGACAAATGGAGGAGCTTCTTTTTCAATGCGAGCTATGCAGAAAGAACAAAAACTTTGACGAAATAATAAAAGTGTCAGACCGGATCCTAAACAACGCCCTGCAGGAAGCCCTGAAACTCGAGCCAGTCCCCAGAGACTACGGAAAGATGATAGATGCGCTTGTCTTTATCACCCAGAAAATGCCAGGGAGCCGGTACAAAAACACTGCTTTCTCAGAGGCATACTGTCTCCTTGGGAAAATATTTGAGACCGGAATTGTACTCCCAGAAAACATCAAGAAAGCGCACGAGTACTACACGATAGCAGCAGAGCACAGCAACCCCTTTGGCTGCTACAGGCTGGCGCACTTCTACGAGCACGGAATAGCCTGCGGTAAAAACCTGCAAAAAGCAGCACATTTTTACAAGCTGTCTGCGAACGGAGGATGCTGCAGAGGAATGCACAGGTACGGAATGATGCTCCTAGAGGGAAGTGTGTGCAAACGGGACGTAAAGGGGGGAGTGTTCTATTTGGAGCAAGCAAGGAAACTTGCCACCCCAAACTACCCGCACGTTCTGTACGATCTTGGAGTGTGCTACGAAAAAGTTCCTTTGATGGCTGGACACATTCTCGAAGACCAGGAGTATGCGCTCGCTATCTTTCAGGAGGGAGATAAGCTTGGGTGTCCGAGATCAAGCGTAAGACTGGGCCATGCGTACAACTACGGAAATCTTGGGCTCAGCAAAGACACAGAGAAGTCCATACACTACTACACAAGGGCAGAAAGCGTAAGCGGAGAGGCCAGATTTGAGCTGTACAGGATATACCTCGCACAGAACAACCAAGAAGCGTCTTTGGAGTGGCTGAAAAAGTCTGCAATGCTGGGGCATCCGCACGGCTTGAAAATATATGCAGATGCTCTGGAAAAAGGGATAGGCGTGCCTGAGAACAAGAAAGAGGCTCTGTGGTGGTTTATCATAGCAAAGTCCAAGGGAATGCAGGTAGATATGGAAATAAAAAGGTGCAAATAGGCGGTTATTCTAGTCACAGTTTTAGATAAATAACGGCCACACTATCTATATATAAATTACACAATAAATAAATGATTTTAATGCAGAACAGATTTATCCTATCCATTTGCAACTGCATGTGCTGATGTAGGACAGATAAACCTACTCTACCAGATTGATTTTACTGGGTTTTTATTCCTTTTTGCTATTTGTGCACCAGTAGAATATGGTTTAGCTTTTAAAAGTTTTCTGAATATTTAATACCAGAACTTAAGAACAAACCAGACGCTAGAAGATTAGACACTCTTAAAGTAAATGCTCTTAATTTTTTGTAGTATATTTGGAAAAAGATAAGTGTGGTACTGGACTGCTTTATTTATGTTCCACTCCTACTGTCTATTCTATATATTGGCTAGTGTTTTATCGCTGACTGACTAGATGCTCTCTTCTATTTGGCTGAGGACTCTATTTGATGCAGCTATTCCTCTTTTGAAAATGCTTAGAATTGCGCTCTTTGTCTGCTCTTCTTCTTTTTTCAGCTGTATCTTCATTAGGGCTCGCGTCTCCATTGGATGCGGAATAGTGTACCCAATTAGATCTATTTCGTACTCCTCTTCAAACTTCTCTATCGCCCATCTGACTATGTTCAAGACCGTGTGGTTTGTTTTAAGTATTTCAATTGTATAGTTGTCTCTTACACCCACCTCCATTAAATTTTTTTAATTACTGGCTGGCTCTTGTAAATATTGAACTGTACAGAAAAGAAGGAATGTTCGCATAAATATTTTAAGTATACACTTGTGCAATTTGCAGCCAGATAAAAAGTTTAATCGCATGAAAATAAAATAAGTGCAGCTCTATGTTGTAGTACAATGTAAGTAAAAATGAAGAAAATAGGTGTTTGGTAGTATAGTGTTTTATTCTTCTCTCTTTGTCTGCAGATCCTCCTCTGGTTTTGCTGCTTTCGTTATTTTAATCTTTTGCACAGGCTGGTTAAGATCGATCTTCGTGTGCTGCACTTCCTGCTTCATGCTCAGCTTGTACTTCTCAGGGTTCTTTATTTCGTTTATTTTTGCTCTGACTTCCTCAATAATCTCTGCAGTGTCTTTTGTCTGCACTGAGCTGGTTAGCATCTCTATTATGCTTTCCAGCATTTCTACAGCCTTCTCTTTGTTCTCCAATGCTTCGTATGTAAATGCAATTCGCAGAGCAATGTCTGGCAGCTTATCGCTGCTCTTGTCCTGTTTTTTTATCAGCTCAAAGGCCTCTAGCAGATCCTCGAGGGCATCCTGGAAGTTGTTGCTCTCTTGGGAAATATCACTGAGCAGAAGATGAACACTTATCAGCTCGTTCTGAAAGTTGTGCTTTTTAAAGACGCTTTTTGCTATTTCCAGCAGCTCCCAGGCTATCCCGAGGTCCTCCAGGTAGTCATTGTCCTCCTCCAGCTCTGGATTGATCACCAGTTTATCGTTGGACAGAAGAAGACACTTAGCATACTCCAAGTACACTGCAGACATCTTCAGACTATCTTCTTTTTCAACAGCAGACATGCTGGAGAGGATATCTGCGTATATCTCAGAGGCGCGTGCAAAATCGCTCTGCACCATTAGCAGTCTTGCCTTTTGTATTTCGGCGTATTCATTTTGTATTTCTCCGAGAATCTTATCCATACAATAGTAAAAAAAATTAGTAAAATTCAGTCGACCTAAATCAAATGCCCAAACTTGTCTGCACTGTTTATTTGCCAGAGAAAGAAGAGAAACAGCACCCCCATCTGCCCCAAGTCTATCCTGTGCTAAACAAATCCACTCGGACCAGAGATAAGCGCAGAGACTCTGAGACACCGAATATTTATGCAATTGTGTTTCTATTTTTTATGAAAGAAAAAAACCAACTTACGCGTCTTGCTGTTGTGCTTCCGGATAAGTGTAAGCCAAAGCTCTGCCAGCTAGAATGCAAAAAAGCGTGTCCAGTGAACAGACAGGGAAAGCCGTGCATAACGGTGGAAAAAGTGTCCCCTGGCGCCACAATATCAGAGATACTCTGCATAGGGTGTGGAGCGTGCCAGAAAAAGTGTCCATTCGATGCAATTCGAATCATTAACTTGCCCACAAGCCTGAACAAAGATGTGGTGCACAGATACTCGCCCAACGGATTTAAGCTGCACAGACTCCCTTTGCCAAAACCGAACAAAGTGCTGGGGCTCATAGGAACAAACGGTATAGGAAAAAGCACAGCCCTCGGGATCCTGTCGGGAAACACTGTGCCAAATCTAAACGATTTCAACAGCACTCCTGATTGGGCTAAATTGCTCGTCAGGTACCGAGGATCAGAGTTGCACAAGTATTTTACAAGACTGCTGAACGAAAATATGAAAATATCGTACAAAACACAGTACGTTGATAAGATACCAAGAAGCCTCAAAGACGAAACAGTAAAAGACGTTCTTCCGCCCGCCACAGAGAAAGTAAAAAATCTGTACAAGGAGCTGGAGCTTGAAAAGCTGGAGGACAGAAGAGTCAAAGATCTGAGCGGAGGAGAGCTGCAGAGATTTGCAATTGCACAGACAATGGCAGCAAAGGCGGAAGTGTACATTTTTGACGAGCCATCATCGTATTTGGACGTAAGACAGCGCATAAAAGCTGCTACACTGATAAGAAAGCTTTGCGACGATAGAAAGTACGTGATTGTGGTGGAGCACGATCTCTCAATTCTTGATCTTATGAGCGACTACGGGTGCGTTCTGTACGGAGTGCCTGGAGCATACGGGGTTATATCGCAGCCCTTTACTGTGCGAGAGGCAATAAACATTTTTTTGAACGGAATGCTGCCAACGGAGAATATGCGGTTTAGAGCAGAAAGTCTGACTTTCAGAATATCCGAAACAGCCGTGAATGTGGAAAGTGCAGCAGCGGGGAGTTTGGGGGTGGTTAAGTACCCAAGTCTAACAAAAGCGTGGAAAGATGGGTTTAAACTCACGGCAAAAGAAGGAGCATTTAGCTCGCCAGAGATTATAGTGCTTTTGGGAGAGAACGGAATGGGAAAGACCACATTTATTAAAATGCTCGCACAAGAGATAAAATCAGACAACGGAAACGAGCCACCGAAGCTGACGATCAGCATCAAGCCGCAGAAACTGTCTCCAAAGTATGAAGATACCGTTAGAAACCTATTTTTAATGAAGGCTAAGCATGCGCTTGTGGACTCTCTGTTCACTGTTGAGGTCATGAACCCGCTGGATATTAAGTCTCTTTTCGAAAAAAAAGTAAAAGAGCTGAGCGGAGGAGAGCTGCAGAGAGTGGCCATTGCGCTCTGTCTGTCAAAGCCTGCCGATCTGTATCTGATTGATGAGCCATCTGCGTACCTTGACTCAGACCAGAGAATTGTCGTGTCAAAGGTTCTGAAAAGATTTATCACAAGCCAAAAGAGATCAGCATTTTTAGTGGAGCACGACATGATTATGGCCACATACGTAGCTGACAGAATGATGGTGTTTGAAGGAACGCCTGGTGTTGAGTGCACTGTGAATGCGCCTGGCGGAGTAGTGGACGGGATGAACATGTTCCTGAAGTCTCTTGATGTCACATTTAGAAGAGACGCTGAAAACTACAGGCCGCGCATCAACATGCCTAACTCCGCGAAGGATAGAGAACAAAAAGAGAGCGGGAACTACTTCTTTAACAACGAATAATAAAATATTTATTAGTTTATTCTATATTAAATGTACAGATGTATACTCATTTTTTCTCTTTTTTACCGAGATAGAGTAACTGTAGATAGGTTTGTTGTTTCGCTTCTTATGATGTAGTTAGTGCTGGCTATCAACTGAGATCAAACCATAATTATCCATGCTATATTTTAAAAAGTATCACATGATGGTTACAGCAGTATATTCAAATTATCTATTTGATTCAGTAAATAGTACTATACAATTCTTGTACTGTTAAATTCGTTGAAAGTACACTTAAATGTGCCATAAACGATACAGAGTTTCTCTTTAGTGCATTGTTTCTCTTATACCTACAGATTCTCTGAAAGCTACCATTGTACTTAGATATTCAGTTGGTGTTCATCTTTCTATCGTTAAAAACTTCAAAATTGGGCGGGCGCGGGAAATAAAAGAATGTATAAATAAAATGAAAAAATGAGGGACATGCAAAGCAAAACAAGAAAGTGCGGTATTCTATCGTGGGTATCCAAGAAGCCAAAGAGCACAGAGGAGATGTACACAGAGATTAGAGGGCTTGAATACAGCCAGGCAGAAACATCCCAGGAGAGCATATGCCTATCACAAATTTCTGTTGATGATGCATCGCAAAAGGAAAATGTGCAAAATATTGACAATGCTGCTGAGCTGGCAGAACAAAGAAATATAGCAGCCAAAATAGACAGAAAAGACACAAAGAAAGAGAGGCCTGTGCTCCAGGCACACCCCTCCTTCACAGAAGAGCCTGAAGAGAATGCGGTTACACTGTCTTTCCTGTCTCCGCCAAAAGACAAGTTTGGAAGAGCACCTGATGATGCAAACTACGATGCAACTACTCTGTTCATATCGAGCAAGGAGCTGTCTTCTATGACGCCGTGTGAAGAACAGTTTTGGAGAATAAAAATGGAGTATTTTGACACGATTGTTCTTTTTAAAAAGGGCAAGTTCTACGAGCTGTTTGAAAATGATGCGGTTCTCTCTTCTGAGCTTTTTGGGCTGAAGCTAACAAAAAGAGGGTCTATGCGAATGACAGGCATCCCTGAGATGTCTCTTGACACGTGGACAGACAGATTCATCTCCAAAGGATACAAAGTTGCTATTGTAGACCAAAAAGAAACAAGCGTGTCCCAGAACATGCGAGTAAAATCGGGAGAGTGCAAACAGAAAATAATTGAGAGGGAGCTAAAAGAGGTTGTAACTGAAACTACCGCTAGCGCAGAAGGTGCTGGCGTGTGCAGCTTGTTCATTGATGAGATAGAGCACACAGAGAAAGTGTGGGCTACCATTGCAGGCTTCCGGCCTATGGAGTCTGAGTTCTACGTTCTAACTTTTGAAGACGACAGAGAACTCTTTGCAGTAAAAAGTGTTATTAAAAAAGAAAACATAAGAGACATAATAACCGACAGAATGGTTCCATTCAAGGAAAACATCATAAAAATACGGCCTGATATCTGGGAGCAGGACGTGTCGTCTGTGATGAGCAGAATGTCTATGCAAAAGATCAAAAGCACAGAAAAAAATGCACTCTCGGTTCTTATCTCCTATCTGCAGTACTTGAAATATGCATTTACCCCGCAGCTAGTGGAGTACAGCGAGAAAAACAAAGACCACATGTACATCGATGGGCGGACAATCGAGATGCTGTGTCTGGTGGAGGAAGACAGAAAAAGAGGGAAAAAACAGTTTTCTCTGATGGCACAGATAGACCAAACAAAAACAAAACAGGGGAAAAGACTGCTCAGACAGTGGATTATCCGCCCCCTTGCCTGCCTGGAAAAGATAGAAAAAAGGTACAGCACAGCAGAAGTATTTGAAAAAGCGCCTGAAAGAAGCCCCATTGAGTCGTGTCTGCAGAACGTGTACGACATAAATGATTTTGTAAAAAAAGCAAAAAACTACAAAATACGCCCTGATGAGATAAGAAAGTTTGTGCACTCCTTGAAGTCTGTTGAAAAGATGTATCCACTGCTGAACTCAGTTGCGGAGGCACACGGAGAGCAAAAGATTTCCAGAACATGCATACCAGAAATCCTTGCTAGGCTCAGTCCATATGCAGTGTACAATGAAATAATTTGCGGATTTGACATCGCAAATGACATTATGCCGCTTGACACAGACCCTGAGCTGATTGCAGCAGAGAAGTACAAACAGAAAGTTCTGAACATCCTGGAGACCTACGGAAAAAACGAATCCAAAGCAGCAGGAGTAGATTTCGCCGTTAAAAAAATAGGAAGAGAGCACTACTTAGAGTGCAAATACACCACAAATCTTCCGCCAAAGTACATTCCCGCAGGATCAACAAAAAACACCTCCAGATACACAACTCCCGAGCTGCGCCGTCTCTCTGAAAGCTATCTCGAGGCAGAAGAAAAGATCACATTCCTTGCCACAGAGTCTGTTGCAAGAATCTCGAAAAGAATAAGCGAAAACGATGTAAAGCTGAAAGATATTTCGCTCGGAGTGGCTGCTCTGGACTGTCTTATCTCCTTTGTATATATTAATGGAGTAAAGCCAGTTTTTTCAGAGTCCCTGGAGGTTGAAGGACTGACCAATGTCAGACACACACACATTTCCAACAATTTGAAAATAGGGACTGAGAATAAATTGGTTGTGGTGACAGGCCCAAACATGGCAGGAAAGTCAACATTCTTGCGCAATGTTTCTGTTGCGATTATTCTCAGACAGATCGGAGCAAAAGCACCTGCCACCCGCTTTTCAGCGCCTATCTATGATCGAATGTTCACGCGCATTGGCGCAAGCGATAACCTGATCGAAGGCGAGTCAACATTCCAGGTGGAGATGAAAGAAACAGCAGACATTCTAGTAAATGCAACGGACAGATCATTTGTGATAATAGACGAACTGGGCAGAGGCACGTCCACCCGGGAAGGATCTGCCATCTCTTTGGCGGTAAAAGAGTATTTGAAAAAGATAGGGTGCACTGCACTGTATGCTACACACTTCTTCAGCGCCATTGCGAGCTCTGATGTAACCATGAAAATGGACTACACATACACGAATAATAACGGAAAAGAAGAAATCCTTTATCTGTACAAGCTCGTGGAAGGAGTGTGCAGAGACTCGTGCGGTATTGATATCTGCAAAATAACAAAAGTGCCAGCAGGAGTGATTAGCAGGGCTCTTGAGATAAAAAAAGCCAGAAGAGCTGTGCTTTTGAATATTTAGGTTACACCAACTTCTAAAAACCTGTGATATCATTAAATTCAAAATTTTTATTCTATATATTTGTTCTTATCTGATTTTCCATCCACTTCATAAGATATTCCATCCAAAAGCTGTTGCTTGGGCCGCTCTTTCTCCATCTGTCGCTTCCTCTGTAGTGCTTGTCCATTTTTCTGTACACTTCCCTGTGCGGCTGCCCGTCGTCTCCTTCAAAAAGCCACGAAACTTCTTTGTCTATGTCTGTGTACAGAGTGGCACCTGTCCTGTACCCCACGCTGTTTTTGCTGTTCTGCACTATCTCAACGGATGCACCACTGCCTTCATCAGCCTGCACTGCGTGTGCTAGCGAATAATCTATTACTTTTATTTTGTACTGGCCGTTTGAGTTCTTTTTCACCAAAATGTTGCTCTCATGAAGATCTCTGTGCTCAACGCGCAGTCTTTTCATGTCCAGGGTGCACTTTTTAATCTCATATCCAATGGATGCTACGTCATTACGCGACATCTGAGCCCACTGCAGCTTTTCAAGCTCGCATCCCCCGTACTCCATCACAATCACTCCAAAAAGACCGGATGAATTGTTTTTTTGCGGAATAACATTCTCCGCTATTTCCAGGTTTTTGCTCCACCATCTCCTGCTCTCTTGCAGCAGTGTCTCTGGATACGGCTTATTGATAAGGTGCCATGTGTACAGCTCAGCTGAATACTTGGATGCGTTCATTAGCTTCATAATCAAGCACTCCTTGATGAAATGGTCTAGCTTTGTGTGCTGTACTCTTTTGTACTCTTTCTCTGTGGTAAGCGGCACTATCTTGTAGACGTGCTTTGTTTCTCTGTCCATAAAGATTTCACTGAATGTTGACTCTCCCAGCTTTTCTAGCTTGCTAACTGGCAGACACGAGAACGATGACCATTTTTTTTCCTGCGCGTCTTCATAGAACGTTTCCAGCTTTTCGTTGCTCTCCAGAATACTTTTGTTTTCTTTGTATGTGCTGTTATTTATGCCAATCCACTGGAGGGCCATTTCACTTTTCATCTTCTTTATGTCCAGCGGGTAATCATCCGTGCTTTCCTCCTTGTCCACTGTGTACTGCTCCAAAATGCTTCCGTCTTCAGAAACCATATACATCATTGTTTCTGTCTTTTGTTTTTTTTCGGGAGCACCGTATTTACGAGCTGAGCTGTTTTCTGTCTCTCTTTCCACTTTTTCCTCTCTGATCTTCTGCTGCTGCTCTATCTTTGGGAGAACAAATAGTTCAGGAGCTGCAATGACCCCTATGCTTCTGCGCAGCGGCTTGCTCTTGCTCTTGAATGTTCGTATTTTCATAAACTAAAAATATTTCTACCACTATAATAACACAATCTTATTGCTTTCCTTCTCTCTTAGGATCTATATCAGCCTGACTATCTTATCCACCATGTTCTCAACTGCCTCTTCCTTTACCGTCTCCTCGGGGCTGTTGTTCTTTGTGTATCTTTTGATTATTCCGTGCGTTTCATCGTACTTTGTCTCTTTCTTCAGGCTTTCAATGTTCTTTCTCTGCCGCTCTCTGAGTGTTTCGAGCTTCACTATCTTTTTGTTGAGCCGGTAGTCGCATATTCTCCTGTTTGCATAGTATAAAAAAGTGCTGGCCATCCCTATTAGGACAAATAGAAACAGTATTTTTAGCAGATGCAGATAGGAGATGCTTTCTTTGCAGACCCACAGAAAAGAGAGCGCTCCAATGGAAACAGCAGCAATGACTTTGAAGAACAAATCGCCTGCTGTTTCTTTATTTTTTTTAAGATGTTTTATTTCTTTCTCTTTTTCTTTTATTTGCTCTTCCAGCTCTATTATGGCCTCTCGTACCGACTTTTTGCTAAACCAAAGACCCATTAAAATTTTCACTCGCAGTGCTTATAAAATATTATTCTTAATTAAAAAAGAAACAGGCTATCTGCCACAAAAACGTCCAAAACAAAGAAGTATCATAGTCCATTTACTGTATTATTATTCGGTTGCGATGGCTGCTGCAGATTATCTGATGCTCTCTGAGAAAATAGCCGCTCTTTTGCGCTACTCCTCTTTCTTTTGTTTTTTGGCTTTTCTGGTTCTCATGCGCAGAGGAACGTACGTTGAAAATGGCGATATGTCTCCCATTTCCTCCACCATTTTTTGGACTGTTTCATTTGCTATGCCAAAAAAGCTCTCTATGTCTGCAAACGATATTCTTTCGAACTCTTTTGAGAAAATGCCCCAAACTTCCTCTTTTGGTCCTGCCCAGTGCTTGCCTCCTGTTGCTCTAATTTCAAATATGCACTCTCCATTGACCGAGCGTATTTGGCAAAAGTACGTTAGCTTCTGCTCTTCCTTCTGAGGACTGGCGTACTTTCTTTTTGACTTGAATCCGATGGGGTATATGTACATGCTGTTGTAGAAGGTTGTGTACTCCTCTGGAGGAAGCACGCCTATTGAAGTCAGGCTGAACTTTGAGTGAGCTTTTCCGAGAACAATGGGGAAAGTGCTTTCGTTTTCCAGCTCTGTGTACTTTGGAGGCTTCTGTCCTTTTATAAACACAAGCAGATCCAGCAGGGCATCTCTTCTTCTCTGCAGGCCCTGCAGCTCTCTTCTCTTATCGTCTGTTTTCTTTTTCACATCAATGTATTTATTGAAGCACTCATTGAGCTGTGTGTGCTCTTCCATATAAAAATAAAAATGAAAGACGATTAATAATTGTTGCAGGAATGGACAGAGTGGTTCTAGTGTGGTAGGTAAAGAACAAACAAAGACTCTAGCTCTTTTACTGAGTGTCTTTGCACATGTAGATCACTATAGGTTAACGGTAGGAGTGATGTAGGAATGTGGATATTTAGTAGAATAGTTTTATGTCTTGGATTAAGCATAAATAGAATGTCTGAATATAGGAAATATTTGCAGTTTGTTCTTCTATTCATTGTGTGGCTAGATCCTGCTTTCTTTTTCCACTTTTACGCATTGCCTTTTTACGGACAGAGCGAGCTAATGTTTCTGCTAGATGAAATTAAAAGAAAACAAAAAAGAGCATTACTGTCTGTATACATAGCTCAAATGGCCTTAGAGCATGGCTATTAGTATGCCATTTTTTCATTCTACACAAGCTGTGCGATCTTTTTAGAAATATATTTAAAGAATTTTTATAACTGCACACAGTAACTAAGCTGTCTAGCAAAGCATGAAATAAATAGCATACAATGGAAGTATACCTGCACCAGAGATGATAGTAAAGATGGTACTAGTCTGTGTGATGTAGCTGTCCATCTATTGCACAGAAGTATTTCATCGAATATTTAGAAGATCAAGATAAAGCGCAAATACCGCTGTAAAACGAAAGAACGCATGGAAACCGTCAAGATATTAAGAGTAATAGCCTCAGAGAACTTAACATCAGCGCATGTGCTGCTTCCGGTGGGTTTAATATCCTTCCGCCGCACGCTCAATGGGTAGTTGTCATCACAGGCAGATCTCTCTGGTCCAATGATAAATGTTTTTTAGTTATTAATTGGCTTATTTATTAGATGATTCATTGCGCTTAAACAGTAAGAATGCACTGGCCACCAGCGCTCACTATCTTCTCCTCTGCCTCGGGGGTGAATCTTCTTGCTTTCACGACAATTGGTCTAATGGGCTTAGTACCTTTTCCGATCACCTTGAATATTCCAAAATCAGACAGATTTACGACAGGCACTTGGCTGGGGTCGTTTGCAAACTGGTCGTACTGTCCGCATTTGTCAACTAGGCTCCATATCTCGTCTACTCCAATGTATGGAGCGTAGCTGCTGTTGTATCTTCTGAAGTATACGTTCATACCTCTCTTTCCAAAGAAGTCTGGGTGGTATCTCTGGAAGAGAGTTCTGTGATGTGTAAGACCTCCTGCCTTTCCTCTACCTCCCGGATGCTTTCTATGCTTTCCCACTCTACCATGCCCGTGTGAGACATGTCCTCTCAATTTTCTTGATTTCTTGTTGTTAGTTGACATTCAGTGCAGGGGACTCAAAAAATTTAAATTTAAATTTCACATTTGAGTCTCCATTTTAATTCTTCTCAAAAATATCCGTAAAAATTTTAATGCGGCCACTCAAAGAAGAAGAATTCGCCAAAATAGAAAAGAAGCTTAGACAGTACATCGGCAACAACATCAGCTCTTTTCTCAACCCGCTGAATGAGCTGGTCTACCACCACCAGAAAATATACTACGTGCGAAAAGACCTCCTAAAAAAGGCCAGCATCCTTCCCAAAGATAACTTAGTGTGCATTGGGACGTGCATTGGGCGCTTTACAAAGGGAGAGAACTTCCGCCTCAAAATAACGGGTCTGCACGTGCTGATGATGTACTCAACGTGCAAGATAAAAGTTAAGCAGACTTCTGAAATGAACATTCTCTACGGAAACCACGTGCAGAGAGCGCATCTGTGCGGAGTGGCTCCCGACCTAAAAAAGAATGCAGGCGTTGTGTTGACCACATCCTCCAGCATTCCCCTGGGCTTTGGAGTTATGACGAAGTCGGGAAGTGAAGTTGTTGCTGGAGACAGAACAGCTATTGTAGTGGTGAGACATGGCGATACAGGCGAGTATCTGAGAGACGAAAGTGCTCTTATGTGAGCCTAGCAGTGATTTGCATGAACTAGATAGAATAATAAACAGATTAATTTTCAGGGCACTTTACTATTTACTCAAACGATCTTATGTCTATTGCAGAGCCAATGCAATGATAAATATAGCATCATTTAATTTAGTGTTTCATTTTCATAGTGCTCCAGATCGAATGAATGGTTTTACTTTCTTTTTTCACTAATTGCACTGCTGTTCTAGCGATCTTTGCATTGATTTTGATCTTGTATTGGCTATAGATCTATGAATAGCAGAAATTAAAACATCTAGCGGTTTTATTGTCTACTTTTCTGTGTGTATTTTCCGTTTTATTCATTCAGTCTGGCTTGTGGAGCACTTGATAAATAAATATTTTAAAAGCCCGCAAATTGCTTGGAATGGAGCCAGATGAGAAAATCCTTGAGCACTCGCCACTACTGCACACAGAAAATAAGAATAAATTATACCTACGCTTATTGCAGAAGAATTACACAGTGGCCCAGGTGAAAAGGCTTTTCAGTGAACTGTACAAGTACAACATTCTCTACTTCTGCGGTATTCCAACAAAAGAAGAGCTGGATGATCTGAATGCATTTCCTAGTGAGAATAATGCTCTGCTGGAAAGTTTAGAGAAGACGTCTTTTGAGAGTGCTGGTATTTGTGCAAATAAGATGAGTGGAGAAGACTGTAGTAAAACAGAAAAAAAGAACAAAATAGATAGCGATGAAAAGGCGTGTGTGAACAATAGTGTTGACAATCTTTATGCTAAGAGATGTTTTGACAGCTACCATCTGCGGGACAGGAATGACCTCTATGTCTTTGAAGAAGATAAAAACACCAGTGATTTTGATAGAATCTTTTTATCCTCTTATGGTAAATATCTTCGAGGTGAGTATCTCAGCGCTAGAGAAGGAGTGGAGATACTACTGCGAAAGAGCACTCTGAGCGGTGTGCACTTTGGGTGCCGCATGCACCTTCTCTCGCTTGGCTCTGCTTCGTCTTACAAATCAGGCGGATACTACGATGCCGTGTGGCTGGCAAAGGCAGGAAAAATATTGGCAGAAAATGTTGGATTTATGAAGGGCATGGAGTACTTTCAGAACATGCTTATGATAATAGAGTCTGCAAAAGAAAGCAGGGAAGTATCCAGCGAGTATCAGTACACTTTGATATCGCCCAAAATAGACGAACAGCTCTCTATTCCCGTTACCTTAGAGGACAAGATCAGTAGATGCGTCCAGTATGGAAGTGAAATTACCCTGCTCAGAGATGTAAAAATATACGACTCAAGAGAAGTGCAAATGCACACAATGGAAAACAACTCTATTTCAGAGTATATCAACAGAATCAAAGGCATTGGCGAGAAGTGCAGAGATATATCTCCCATTGTGGTATACTCCATCGATGGATGCATTGCCTTTGGCCTTATATACTACAATGAAAAGGCTAAAATGTCCGTTATTAAATCAAAAATATCTGTTAAAAGCATCCTTGGCCGGCTGTCAAAGATACAAGCACAGAACAAGGAAATTCTCAAAAGAGTGTGCACGACCGCTGAAGAAAAACAAGACTGGTGGAAGGCAAGGATTTCTCTGGACAACGAAATAAAAAAAGAAATAGTAAATATCGATGTGTACTTGCAGAAGTACGTAAAAAAAGGGCACGAAATAAAAAAAAGAGTGGCGCTGGTGATTGAAGATGTTCTGGGAAGCGTGCCCTTTGAAATGTGCAACACATTTGTGCATTCGGGCGTATTTAGATGTTCTTCTCTCTGCCACATTCTTGCATGCAATGATTCTCATGTAGACGCAGATCCTGTCGACGATTCTGACTTTTTCTATGTTCTAAACCCAGAAAAAAACCTCATGCAAACAGAAACACGCATTCTAGAGTTCGTGCAGCGGTGCATACCAGGCGCCACGGGAATCAAAAATAGGCCTCCTCTCCCAATGGAGGCGGAGCAGGCAATTATGTCGCATAAAATTTTTATGTACTTTGGACACGGCGGAGGAGAAAAGTTCTTTGCTCCCAGGAAGCTTAAGAGAATTGCCGCTGATAGCTCTGAAGTGAGAACAAAAAGCATATTTCTGTTTGGGTGCTCGAGTGCCAAAGTTTCTGCTTTTTCTATGTACAACACACACAGCACCTGTATATCATATATGCACATTCCGATGGTTAAAAATGTGGTGGGCGCTCTGTGGGACATAACAGATAGAGATCTAGACATAACAAGCATTGGGATCATGAAGTCCATTAAAGAGAAAAAAGAGCCTCTGTCCGTTTCCCTAAACAGACTGAAGAGAGAGTGCAAGCTGAGATACCTCAACGGAGCAGCAATTGTGTTGTATGGAATTGATGAATAGTTTGATGTTTTTGAGAATAAACTGTTATTGTATTTATCCCAGTGTAAAAGTAAAATGTTCTCTAGTTTTTAACTCTACAATTTTCAGCGGATGCATAAATAAAAGCTAAATAATTTACTTACACATTTTATTTTTATAGACTTTGTTCTTGGATATTCTCATTGTTTATTACTAGAAAGTCTTCCAAAAGAAAAAGAAGATAAAAGTCATTAGAAACACTCAAAGCTAAGCCAAAGATAGAAGAATGAATTAACAGCAGTGCTAGAGTACATCTATATACAAATCATCAAGTATTTGTAAGAATCGGATTGAAAAGACCATTTATTTCTGCGCTTCTTTATACCCATAGATACCTGTGCTATGAACACTGGTCTAAGCTACAACGAATTTACTACCACTGAATATACGAATTATAAACATCTTTTTTGATTGTGTGCTATCTTACTCTTTTAGTCCTTTGCTTTTTTCTTCTAAAGTGGAGCCCATACGGCCTATTTTTATGAAAGACGCAGTAGAGTCTATTTTTGAAGAAGCAGATGGATATGCAGAAAGCGCAGTTTGGAAAAGAGAGAACATTATGAGGAAGAAGCACTCAAAGACGGTTCTTCCTGTGAAAATAAACCACATCAAAGACTGCCCTAAAAACCAGAAGTTAATAACGCACCCCAGCACCACACACACTGCCTGCAGAAAAACAATCACGTGGAGAGTTTGCACATTCTCTCTTCCAAGCGCGTATCCAATGTACGCAAAAGGAAGAAGAAGGTCAGAAGCCACTAAGGCGCCTGATAGCACCGGAATGCTTTTTTTTGAGAATAAAAATGCTGCCTCCCAGTTGATCGATGAAAGCGCGTGGTTATGGCCGGTTACGAAAAACATAATCTTAATCAGGAAAAAAAGAAAGCATCCCTGCTGGGCCGGGTATTTTATGCAGGAAATGCTCTTATTGACAATCGGGCAGAAAACATACAGGAACATACACGCAGATACAGGCGTATACAGCAGCAGTGGCAGAAGAGTTGGGTACAAGCACAGGATGGCAGACCGCGTTATGTGCACTGCGCCTGAAGAGAAGAACTGGCTGACTGCGAAGAGAAGAGTTCCTGCAGTTGCAACATTCTGCGATTTTTTTCTTATTAAAGGCGGTAGGATCCAGTACCTGACAAAACATGCGATGGAAGAGAAGAAAAAAACTTTTTCAAAGATGAGGTATGTATACCGAGCGGGCAGCTTCTTAATCCACCGAATGAATGTAAATCTGTCAACAGAGTGCAGAGGAAACTCTCCTGCGAGAAGAGTCATAAGCGGAAGCATTACAACCATCCACGGGCTCCACATCGGCCAGCTGAATCCCAGACAGACGAAAAGAGAGATAATGTCCTCGTGAATAATCGAGTACACAGAATGAGCGATCATAAACATAGCAAAGACAGAGATGGCAAGGAACAAAGAGATTATTTGCACTCTGAAAACTACCAAATGCAGTAGAATGCCGGCTGCAACAATCACCACTCCGGCAGCCATTCCTGCTACAGACGAGCTATGGAACAGACTGTGTATTTCATTTCCCAGGGACTCATTGATTGTGGAAAGACTGCTACTCTTTTCTTCCATTGCTGGCAAGTACTCCTTTTTGTTCAGGAGATATGAAAGCGCTTTTTTCTGCCTTGCTATCTCCCATTTGTACACATCTTTATGCTTCTCTTCACAGAACAGCTGGGGAATAAGAGAGCCAGATGAGTTATACGGCACTGCTAGCCCAGTGAATGCACAGAGTGTGGGAAGTATGTCGTTCTGCGAGATGATGTTTACGTCCTCAGATATATTCAGCTGTTTTATCTCTTCGCTGTACTCTTTGTACACAGCTCTGTCTAAGTATTTTTTGCCATTTCGGCTATCAGCTCCACTGGCAGTATTTTCTCGATTGTTACTCGTTTGGGTCTTTCTGCGGCTGGTAGAAGAGTGCTCTGGGAACACAGACTCATCGGCTGTCTTTTTTTCCACTGGTATTTCATCTGATTTTTTATTCTGTTCTCTTTTTTCGTTGTGTGCTTCTACGTTCTGTGAGTTGATATCTTTTGCAATGAAGAGAAAAGATGCTGCTTTCTCCTTAAGAGATGTGCCACCGTGCGAGCCATCGTCATTTACGCCGTGGTCTGATAGAACAGCAATAAATGACTGATCTGTGAGAGTATCGTATAGATCGCCTATAAACCCATTGATCATCAGAAGAGCCTTCTGCACTTCCGCACTGTCAGTTCCATGCACATGCCCATAGGAGTCAGGCGAGATAAGGTGGATAATAACGAGATCGTGTGTGTTCTGTGCCTCTAGTGCTGCTTTTATCAGCCTCTTCTCTTCACTGAATGGAATAAGGCCGTATGGATGGTATATTTCCCCAATGTTCGATTTTATTTCTGGGAATAAATATGTCCATGTCTCGTCCCCGTAGAAAACAAAAGAGCGGCCGCATCTCTGCAATTGCGATATGAAATTATCCACTTCACTGCTTTGATTCTTAAAAGATCTTTGCGCTGAGAGCAATGTGGTAGGTATGCCCGAGAAGGTAGACAGAATCCTCATTGCAGTTCCCGTGGGAAGGTCTGCAATGCTCACAGCCTTGAAAATGTCCTGCACAGGAATTCTGTCAAGAACAGAGAAGTTACTGTGGTATTTGTTCTGTCTATCGCTTGACACTTTATGAATGGCATCAGCGCGCACTCCATCCATCACAAGGACAACACCTTTTCTGTACACTGCAGGAAGCGTGTCTGCATTGTGTTCCTTGATGGGCGACTTTTCCAGAAATAAGCTGCGAGAATAAATGAAAAGACCCAGGCCCCATAGAGCCATAACGCACAGGCCCTTTAGACTGCTGTATAGCGCACTAGTGAACAGGCGCACTCCTTCTAGCTTATGCATGATTGAACAATTAATTTGTTCCTGTGTATTATAGCATAATTTTTAATATGCCTAATTTCAGAGGCTCGCATATTAAATTAATACACCCCGTTTCAGGCAAAGAGAATTAGTCATTAGGAGCCCTGGAGAGGTTAAGATGCATTATAGGCAGTAGAACACTCTCTCACCTTCACTGTCCGTATTTATGGACTCTTTTTTCACTGCGCATATAATTTCTCTTCTTTTCTCTATGGGATACTGCACGTACTTCATATACAACGTAAATTGAACAGTTCTTTGCTTCTCTGCTTATCTATCTCATTCGGATACTCTTTAAACACTCTACCAGTATCCTCTGTCATCCTAGCTCTACCTTTCTTCCCGCCAAATTACGCATTTGCCCGCCTTTTTCAAAGGAGTCTCATTCTGCCCAGCTAATTAGGCACTAATGTCCAATTGCCTGGCTAATTTTAATTTAATTTGCAAGCCCCTGCAATAACAAATTTAAAACTATAAATAGATTCTTTTTTCTGCTCTTGCACTGCTTTTGACTTTGATCAGGCTCTCAGGAGCAGACACTCAGCCACTAGTCTGCATATATACAGACGGTCAATGCCTAATGCCATAGGAATAGGGCACACCCTGTATAGACTAGCAACAACAACCATAAACAACAAGACAAGTGACGAGTGATGGAAGGTGTGCAGGATATAAACAGCCCTTCTAGGATAAGAGTGTGAGTATTCTTTGTGTAGGTAATTTAACATGTGCAAGAGAGTGATGTACAGCTGCAGTGATGGCTACTCTGCTCCTACGAGTGGAGTATAGCCATTGCAATATGCACTGTGAAGTTCGCGCGTGGATAGGTGGACATGGCGCACATTCGAAGAAGTGCAGTCGACCGTCACCGAGGCAATTACCGCGCATTTGAAGAAATCGCTCCCTAGACTGACAGCTAATGGTCAATTGGAGTATGTCTCATGAATTACACGGTAATCTAGATGCGAAACCAGCTCGAAAGTGCCATCTATTCTAACGAGTGGGCGGGTATTAGTAGGCGACTCCATGATCTATGGTTAGTAGCATTTGAGAGGCACCAATTAGCTTGCTACAGAAGGTAGAAGAGCTTTTGGCAGCCTTGAATTTGTATAGAGCATTATCTGCTCAGAGCATACAACTAGAAAGACGAAACAAAACCATTATTATCCTGCACTCTTCTGCCCTTTGATCTTATCTACTGTCTCGGATCGCATGAGTGCGTGTGCATATTTGTACTGTATATTGTTGTAGCATTGCTGGCCACTCATTTGTAGCTATAAATAAAAACAATTCTATTCTGCTAATAACTCATCTAACTAATTCTTCATCTGCTGTATTTCTCACCTGTTCGTGGGTGTGCCTAGGTTATAAATAATTTTATTTTAAATAAGCATGGATCGATCAGGTGTAAAGAAAATGCGTAAAAGCAGGAAAAAGCACCCGAACCTGCCGCCTGCACAGATACAAAGCCTGTTCCAGAGAGTGCTGTGCGGGTTTATCATTGCCACCCAGTACGTTACTACTTTTGTGGCTGTTTTGGCTCTAGAGCTGATTGTCAACAGCAAGTTTGATCGCGTGCGGCTTCTCTTTTCTCGGGGGATCTACAATGATGTTGCTTTCTACAAGACCATTTTTAAGCTAAATGGGTTTTATGTTCTCGGGACCATTTTGATCGTAGCCTCTGCGTTCTACAACAACAACATCGCAGAAGAGGGCGACAGATTTGAGTTTATATCTCCTGACTACATTTTGGTCTTTGGCGGTGCTCTGTGGCTTATATTCAAAATGTCTGCATCCTGGCTGATTTCTAGCGACATTTTTGCCTACAAAGATCTAAACACAATCGCAGCTGCTGGTGCAATACTCGCTGTGTTCTACCTGTGCCTGTGGTTCTACACGCTGATAAACAACACTCTGTGCCTAAAAGCAGCCATGGTGACAAAGGCGGGAGTTATTCTCATTTTTGGCTTTATTTTCATGAACTACGGAGCATTCATAAACACATGCACGTATCTGTGCAATGGCTGCAGCTGAGAATAAGAAATAAAAGAAATTTATTAGAAGAATACGCAGTTGCAGATAGCTCTTGAGAGAGTGAAGAGGCACCACTTTAAAACTTTGAAATTCATCTGGCAATCCAAAGATGGAATGCAGAGTAGATTCTATAACTCAAAAAGAGAATAATTGAATACTTGCATAGTAGAATAAGTAAATTAGAAGAGTTACAAAAATAGCTATAGATTTATTGCTGCAAGTATTGTGTCTTTTTTATCGCCTGTTGAGGTGTACGCGGGCTTGAGAGACTGCATGTACTGGCGCCTGTTGCTTCGCTCTGTTAAGTAGTTGGAGATATAGAATAATAAGAAGAACAGGAAAACAAATGCAACCACTGCTCCTGCTGCACTGTATAGAACGATTTTTACAATGTTCGAGTCAAAGAAAGCAGATATTGCAGACGGCTTCTCTGGAACATCTTCCTCTGCTTCTTCTTCTGCCTCAACGGCAGCTGTTTTTCCTTTTTTGTCTGTTTTTTTACTCGATTTGGAAGGGGCTTCTTTTGTTTTTTCAGTTGACTCTTCGTCATCTGCCACAATTGGCGACTTAGACTTGGTGCTGGGCTTGGTGCTAGACTTGGAGCTAGTCTGTGGCTTGGCGTCAGAGTCAGAGTCTGGAGCAGCCTTTGTCTTAGCGCTGGTTTTTTTCGAGATGCTCTCTTTCAGGAAGCTGCTTTCGAAAAACGAATCGTCAAGTGGCTTCAGTTTAGAGCTCTGTTTGTTTCTTATCTTTTTTAATGGGTCGAGTTTAATGCCTTCTACACTTTCATTAAAAAAAAGAAATACAAGCACAACTATTCCGTGCAAAGCTAAGTACTTCTTATAGGCCATTGTTTATTTATAAAGGATTCGCAGAGTATTTACGTTTATTTATTTTTGTATTTTCTTCTACTCTATGGATGGGTAATATTGACGAGTTTGAATTTGTGTTTGCAGTACAGGTAAATAAACAAATGAAAAAAGAAAAATGACTAGATGAATGTTTACTGTTTTAGGACTCTCAGGCCTCTGAAAGTCTTTTTTAGAGTAGTAAAGATTGTGCTGTTTAAGCGGTACCGAGTGTCAAATATGAACACAAGGACTGCGCTGATTATCAGAAGAGCAACGGTTATTTTGAATATTAAATCGTACACATATTGCACAAGAGATGTCTTTTTGTACCTATTAACGGTTGCATAGTAAAGAACGTCTGCTTCGCAGCTTTTTATAATGAGCTTTGCAATAGACAGCCCGGTTATAAGCCCAAGAGTAGGACTGATTATTATTTTTCGGACAGAAATATTCTCAGAAGATGCATAGCAAAATTCCAAAAAGACCAAAAAGACCCAGAAAATAGACTGGAGAAGTATTTTTACCATGTCAGATGTAATGATTTCTTCGATGGAGGTCATTTTGGTGTACTGCACTACGAAAGAAGAGAGGGCATAGCAGGAGAGAATCAAGGAGCTAAGGAGCAGCCCTGTGCAGCTGGTGTCTAGATGGTATGTGCCTATGTAGCTAATGAGCACACCCGAGAATAGAACAGACCCCGTGATTATTGAAATTACTTTCCTGACAAAATATCCCTTTGCTGGACACTTCTGGAAAGTATTTTTAAACGCCCAAATTGATGCAATGCTCAGCATGCATGCAGTGTCGAACAAGCAAAACAATAGACTTCCTCTGGGAGCAGATAAGTTCATTATAAAAATGGAAGTAAGTGCAGCCATTCCCGCATACTCTCTAAATTCATTGCTAGGATCAAAAACAATCACTCTTTTTTTGAAGAGCAGCGAAGAGCCTACGTACATTCCACTCACCACTCCTGTGAGAGCATAGACAAAATAGGAGATGTCTAGCTGATCGAACAAAGCGCTTATTTTCTTTAGAGCAAACACTAGAAGATAAAGCGCCAAAAGCGCTGACAGGAGAAGGACTGACTTAACAGAAAATTCTGTCTTAAAGTATCCGTCTTGGAGATGGGAGAGGATGGGATACTGCATCTCCTGCTGTATTTTGCTCCTAAGGCGCTGGGACTGTATGTAGTTTACTGTGTCCTGTCTGCGATCAGCAAAGTCTTCCAGCTCTACAATCTCTGCATTTTGGCTGTATGGATGGTTTTCGTTATGTCCTATAGGATATCGCATAGTTTTGTTTTGCATCTTTTACATTCTGTCCCTCAGAGAATAAATAGACACCTTCCATAAGAAGACATTGAAAAACCAATTTGTAGAGAAACTAATGAATGCAAAGTTTACACGTAGCTCAAATAAAAATAAAAAGTTTAGAAAAACTAATAGTGTGGACATATTATTTTATTTTTGAGCAGACTTTTGGACATTAAATGCTAGAAAGACTCCCAGCGCAATAATAATTTTTTTAGAATGAAACACAAATACTATGGCGGGCTTCTCATTCCTCCGCCGCTGATTAGCTCAGTGCAGGCTGTGGATAGATGCATACATCCTGTTTTTAGGCCCGAGCAAGAGCACAGTCTTTGCAAGTATCTATCCTCTGGCGCAAAAGCCATTAAATTTCTTTTATTTGACATAAGCACTTGCTTGGGTGCTTTTTGCATTTCAAGAAAGTTGGGCTCTTCTCTCCTCTTCCGTGCTCTGACAAAAAACGGCCCAGTGGTGATGAAAATTGGCCAGTTTCTATCCACGCGCTTGGATATACTTCCAGAAGAGGCTATCTCTAGGCTAAAAGTGTTGCAGAGTCTGGCACCCACTCCGAGGCAAAATAAACATCCGTTGGATATTTTTTATGACGAAACAGGAATACTTCTTCCACACAGCAGTTTACAGGGAGAGGTGGGCGCAGGGTGCATCTCCCGGGTGTACAAAGTGAGAATAGGAGAGAAAGACTATGCGCTGAAAATAATAGACCCAAAGACAAGAGAAAGCGCCCAGATCGATTTAGACTTATTCGAAACATTTTCCAAGCTGCTGGGATTTAGCAGATTTTACCAGGAGTTCAAAAGGAATATGCTGGTACAGCTGGATTTGAGAAAAGAAAAAAAGAACACGGAAAGATTTAGAAAAAACTTTGCACTCTTCCAGTCTCCCCTGGAGAATAAGTCGCTTTTAACTCGCGTTCTTTCCAAATTTAGCAATACGTCAGTTGTATTCCCAAAGCCAGTGGCAGCAACAGAAAGCATCCTGCTGACGGAGTACTGGAAGGGAGAGGAGATAGATGCAAAGAGCGGCGAAAGCATTTTGTTTCTTTTTCTAAAGATGGCATTCAAAGACAGGTTTGTGCACTCTGACTTTCATCCTGGCAATCTGTCTGTTATCAAAGACAGCAAAAAAAGACCAGGAAAAAGTACAATAATCGTGTACGACTCAGGGCTTACGCACAGCCTCACAAAAGAACAGAGCAGGAATCTAGCAGATTTAATAAAAACAGTTCTGCTCGATAAAAAGAAAAAAGCTCTTTCTCTGCTAATAGAGAGAAACTCGTTAAACACGCACACAGAAGAAAAAAAGAATGCGTTTTTGACGAGTGCAGCTGAACACTGGAACAGAGCCAATACAAAAAACACAAGCGCGCTGGATAGAGCTCTTAAAGTGTACTTTCTTGCAAGAAGACACAACATATTCCTCGACTCAGCGTATACAAATATGGCCATGTCGGCCATATACATGCAGAACCACATAAAAGAAGTAGAACAGGTCAACTGGACAACTGCCCTCAAAAGTGGGGTCATCATGGACTATTTAGACCTGTTCATGCAGTGGAAGGCAAAACAGTTTAATCTATCAGGATATTTCTAGATAATAGCTGACTCATCACTATCTAGAATGCATTGCTATATGAATCATCGCTGTTCCGTGTGCTATTACTACATCTTTTATGAATATAGAACATTTAACAGATGAAAGAGCAGTACTACTGCTGGCCTACCGCTAGTTTGCACATTTTTTATTATTAAGCCCGCTAGAACTACTGGGCATCTCCTTCAGAATGTCAGAAACAAAGCTCTTTCCAGTGACGAGTTTATCGCTGACCAGTATTACCTCCTCCTTAGGGTACAGCTCGCTAAATAGAAGCACAAGCGACCTATACTCAATAAATGTGGCACCGCCTGTGATAAAAACAATAAGTATTTTTTTTTCCTGCGGGCTTTCTCTGATAATCGGAAATCTTTTGCTGCTCAGCCTGTTGTTTTTCAGGTTGTTCACAACTCTTACTATCTCTGGAGTGTACCCCAGCTTTCTGTTCTGGTTCTTCTGGTAGACAGGCCGTTTGGTGCATAGATTCCTGTCTTTCAAGTGCATCTCTGCATATTTTTTTATTTCGTTTTTGTATCCATCGGACAGCATCCATTTTGCTTTTTTCTCTTTCCAGAAAGGAGCTAGGATGCTGCTATGAGGGAGCACTTCAGCACACAAATATTCAACAAAGGCCAGTCTTATTTTCTGCTGCTCTGTTGCCTCTCTCACCTGCTCCAGTAGATCGAGCGGCACTCCTTCAATCAAATCAGCCATTGTCTCGGACACAAAATCGTTTTCAATGCACGCACTGGATATTTCACCGAGTGCCTTGAGGTGCAGAGTTAAGCGACTGCTTTCTCTCGCCCTTTCTCGAACATTCGTGACAAACTCGCCAACGACTTCACGCGATGCCTTCACCTCCTCCAGGGATCTCTTAAGTGTGTCGGTTGCGTACTGAATGTCTTTGAATTTGCAGTCACTGAAAAAAGTGTCATCCCGAGAAATGCAGAGGCTGTTCGATCCCCAGGAGATCATGCCCGGCTTGTACTCCAGATACTCTGCTGCCATGCTCTGGTACGTCCACGGATACTGCAGGGGTGTGAATAAGTCCATGGCTCTATCGACAATCAAAAGATCAGCATTTGATTTTTTATCTGATTTAAACGAACTTTCAATGAAAGCAGCTGTTTTATAGCACACCTCAGAGCCAAATAAATATCGTATTCCAGGGACTATGCTGAGCCCTTTGAGGAAACAGGAGAGAGAATGCGCTACCTCCTGGGGGTCAGTTCCATTGAGTATCACAAACCGGCTGTCCACAGGCACTCCAGCAAAGTAGAGTTCCTGCAGCTCTTTTATCACGCCGTCTGTGTCTTTTTTTGCGATCATGGCTATCTCTGCATCTGATAGCTCGTCTGTTATGAATACGTAGTACTCTTTGTATGTCTGTCTTTCCACTTCCTTGATGAGATCGCACAGGCTGTTTTTGCTGAGTATGGCGATGCACGAGACATCAATTGGCTGCCGAGCACTGGAAATAGTTTCAAAAAGAAAAAAGTCATACGACAAGAGCTCTGAGTGCGAGATAACAGGACTTATTGCATTCCGCGTGAGCTCATCGAGAAGCAAAGCCTTAATCCCGTCGCCTCTGCTCAGTGCGCTTCGTATGTCCTCAAGTAAGGCGTTCATAAACAAACAAACAAATAGAACGTTTATTTTTCTGTAAATAGAAATAAAGTCTACAAAATATTTTAAGCCTTTTAATTCTACTTTGTAAATCCGCTGTTTCTCCACGGCCCGTTGTCCCAGGAGTCCGAGAACTTCTTCCACTGTCTGCTCCACATGGCGCTGTCAGAGAACAAAGGCTCTTCGTACTTCCACAGGAAATAGTTTGAAAGCGTATGGTCATTCTTCCATGTAGACATTGTTATTTTTTCTGAATTATCTATGGACACAGATGAAGCTACGACTATCCTATCTTCTACAGTGCAAATGGCATTTTTGTGCTCTTTGTCTGTCTTGTCGCCTAGAAGATGCTCTTTGCATGTTTTATCGTTCAGAAAGTAGTACTGAACAGCGATGGGCTCCCTGTGGAAAACCTCGATGGAGTCAACTCTGAACCTGAAAGTGTCAAAGGCCAGGGCATAGAAGTCGCAGAAGGAAAGAGGGCGCCATGCTCCGTGCGCCATCAGAGGCACCTCTCCTGCGAGCTCCATAACGTCTTTGTACATTTTGTACAAAGCGTCTTTGTTTTTTTTTGGAGTTCTTATGATTACATTGTTTCCGCTCTCTGTGCTGCTGTCAAATTTGATGTACACCCCGTTCTTCTTCATAAGGCGCTGTATGGACTTGCCTCCGTATCCAATGATTCTCTTGTGGTGTTTTTCGTGGAGATAAAACGAGTACTCAGTCGGCAGCTCGTCTTCGATCAGAGAAAGAGAAAACTCTGCATTGTGCGATCCTCCCTGAATGAGCACAAAAACATTACTGTCCTTGCGAATCGAGAGAGCACAGTCGCTCTCGCGGGATACTTTATTTATTTTTCCGTTCTTTTTTCCGCATATAAACTCTTCGATTGCAGGAGGAATGCAGATGGATATTTCACACGGAAGATCTACTTCGCGCAGCAGCTTTTTAATTTCGCACGTCTCTCCAACTATCGTAACAGAGCTGTCCACCTCAAAGAGAAACACTTTGGCAGTTGTGTACGGGTCGATGTTTTTTATTTGCACAGACACAATCGATATAAAAAGCATCCTGATCTCCAGCAGGGCATCGCTGAGCAGTTTTTTGCAGAAGCCAGAGATAAAAACAATCGATGATTCGTTTTCGTGTGTTATTTCATCAATGTACGCCTCGTTTTTTACCAAAATATCTTCTAGAATGTGCCGCAGATACATCATGATGTAGGAGAGAGAGATCCTGTCAGCGCGCAGGGTTTCTTTGTAGACTGCGCCCTCCACAGAGGTTGCGCTGATGTAGTCATTCTGCGATTTCGAGATAAGAGCTTTTGTGTTCAAAATTTTGCTCTCAAAATAAACCCTGCCCCCATCCGCCACTATGCGCGCGCCATGCACGTGCGAGTTTACGTACACGGGAGATCTCCCGTGCATTTTCTCGATGATTTTAAATATTTCCGTGCGCGTCTGGAAGGCTTTCTGCGCAGCGCCAACTATCTTTGCAGAAAGATACGTCTGCTTGAAGTCGTATTCAAGTTTCGTGTTGTTCCAGGAGGCAATGTTCTCCAGCTCCATGAGAAAAGAGTCTTTGTTGCTCAGAAGATACGCAGGCAGTCTGACAGAGAGAGAGACACTGTGCGCAGCCGAAGTGTCGGCTAAAATCTTTTCCAAAGAGACAGAATCAGTGACAGAAACGGAAACCTTCACAGCGGTTTCTTTAATGTGGGCATAGGACATCTTTCCTCCAACGGGAATTAGCTTTTTCTCCAGGTCGTTCAGAAATTTTGTGAGCAGCCACTCGGAAGACCCAGAGGAGAAGAGAAAGAAGTGGAAAACTTTTGCAGTGGCAAAGAGAGACCCAACCGAAGGGGACGAGAACAACATGAAGAGCGGCAGAGCGGGGATATTTGTGTTGAACTCTGAAACAGAAGGACGATGCACGAATGAAAGAATACAGTTCCAGAGGCATTGAACCAATAGCAAAAATGACAAGGGGGGGATTCGAACCCCCGCCTTCAGATGAAGACTAGGACCTAAACCTAGCGCCTTAGACCACTCGGCCACCTTGCCTTGCTGTGTTACAGTTTTTCTCTGTGTAGTATATTTATGTGTGAGATTATTTTTGTTTATTATGAAGTACAAAGAGAGCATGCCGCTCACGAGCATATCGAGGACAGGGAAGAACTTTCTGCTGGGAGGGGGGGGAGGCAACCCAATCTTTGGCTTTCCCAACCGCATAGTGATGCTTGACGCAGAGCTGAATGTTCTGGCAGAGGCGAACGTAAAGGAGGTCGTGGTCTCATCAAAAGTCTACTCTGATGAGTATGTTTTGGTCGAGTATCCCTCGTCGTACGAACTATTTATTCTGTCGGAGGGAGACATACAGGGCCCCTACACTCTCCCTTTTGGCGTGTATTCGCCCATTATCGTGAAGGGAACACTGTACTACATCAAAGAAGGAAAGGTTTTCAAAATAGAAGTGTCGAAAATAAAAAACAGCAAAACAGCGGAGAGCGAAATAAAAATAAAAACCAAAGAAATCACCTCGAACAAAGGACACGCTGACACAATGAACAGCCAGAGCAGCCCTGATAACATAACCACACAAGACGCAGACAGCAGCACAAGCCACGATACCTCAGATCAGCAGCACGAGGCTGCAAGTGCCTCTGATCTATCATCGTGGGAGAAGGCAGTGGATATTAACGAAGAGATAAAGATGAGCTCTCTATACACGAACGGCCAGTCTCTTCTGTACAAGGCTACCAAGAAAAACATCCCATTTTTGTTCATGGAAGAGGGAAGGGAAGTGATGCTAGATGGGCCCATTAGCAGCTACAGCGCCAGCAAGTCGCTAGGATACATCGTGCAACTGCCAAAGGATAAGTCAGTCCTTACGATGATGCACAGGGACCAGATATGGACAGTAATTGAGCCCATGTGCATCACTATTCACTCCACAGAAGATGGCGTATTCTATGTGGGGACAGGCACAGGGCACGTAATTGCCTATAAGAAGGGAAGAGAGCTGTGGAGGAAGAAGGTCTTCACCTCTCCTGTCTCGGGGATAGCCAGCATGAGCGGGCAGCTGTACTGCACGTGCATCAATGGAAGAGTTGCAAAGGTGGCCACAGAGGGAGCAATGAAGCAGGTGGTGAAGATGGGGCTCTTCATCGTCTGTCTCTCTGCGTGTGTGGGGGCTGCGAAGTACTACGCGGAGGAAAGGATGCGCAGCATTTTTGAGGCCGCTAGAAGCTATTTTATTAAGTAGAGGAAAAATAAAAAAGGAACTCTCTCACAGGGAATCGAACCCTGGTCCCCCGCGTGACAAGCGAGAATGATAACCACTACACCATGAGAGATCCGTAATAGTAATAACAATTCCGAATAAAACAGTACTGTTAATCCAGCTGCTCTACTTTTCTTTTACTTTGCTTGCTGAGGCGTTCTTATTGACTTTTTGCTCGTAGTTATGGGTGTAAATAAATTTATTGTTGAGCTACTGTTTGTTTATTGTGTTTTTAATTGAGCGGTATACAATCTGGGGATAGTTTTGGAGTGGTGATTGTTGGGGGTTTATGCCGTATACATTATTGTGATGATTTGTCTATTTTAGGAGAGGCATGAAGTGTGTGCTCCACAGGGTAGATGATACAGTCAGTGTGCGCTGTGTGTGCTTTGCTGCCATTATATCATCTACGAGTGAGCTGAGCGACGAAACTGTCAGAGTTTCTTGTAGAGAATTCGTGTATTCTTCTTGGTGATTGTGCAGGAGTGTTTTGTTAGGGACTATGATGAAGGGCGCATTGTGTTTGAGGAGGGAAAGGACAGTCCCTGTTCCTGCATGGGACACAACTAAGTCAGCTCCCTGGATAAAATCATCGAATGCAGTGTAATATGCTACTTTTATCAGAGAGAAGTTTTGACTATTTGTGGTGCTCTTTCTCTTCAGGGAGTTTGGCTCTGTTCTTCCGTACTGTATGATAACCTCTGTGTACTTTGTGCTAATAGCGCCAAGCGACTCAACTATTTTATCGACTAGTTCATTGAATCCAAAAGTGCCTGTGGTGACGACTAGTCTCATGAGAAGCAAATTTGCAAACTTTGCTCAATAAATACTTTTGTGACAGAGAGTAGCTCTCAAGGGACAGAAGACATAACTATTGCAGAAATCTGCACATTTATTTAGAGGCACACTAGTAATTATTGCATCTGGATTTATTGAACTTCTCAGAAAAAGAGACAACTTTTTTAAAACTCAACACATTTTTAGTGGCAATTTTATTCTTTGAATGCTGTACACTTTTTTAATTTGCTTCTTCTGCAGAGAATATTTGCACAACAATGGGGAAATATAGTAGAATTTAATTGCAATTTATTCAATAAATGTTATGCCAAGAGGGATTTATTATAAGTCAAGTGAGATGTTCATTATCAAAGAGTAGTTATTAGATGGACAGTTTTTTAGCGATTGGTGCTCATTACGAGCTATTTATATTTGCAAACATGCTCAGCAAATCTTCTCGTGACTTCTGAGGAGAGACTGTGTCTGATCTTTTTTCTTCTTTTATGTCTGTGTGTTTTGTAGGAAATACGTCTATTTCACTGCACTTCAGTATCTCTGCATACTCATCTGTCTTATCCATGCTCGTACACTCTACTATCTTTTCTGTTTCTTCTGGCTTTTTTGTCTTCTTTTCGTCTTCTTTAGATCTTGCTCTTTCTGCAGGATACTGCACTGTCTCTTCTACTTCCTTGGACAGATCCATGATATTATCGTCTTTACAGTGTTTATCTGTCTCTATTCTTGTTTTTGCACTTCTGTCTTTTTCTGAGGCTTTTACAATGCTCTTCAGGACCTCCATCTCGTCGCACATCACTTCATGATACTCCATCACAACGGAGTCTCCATCTAGCTCTACTCTCTGGACAGTGCACGCGTCTATTTCTTTGTTTTTGCTGTCAAAAAGGACAAGGCTTTTGTTAACTATAACCAGACACCCGTCCATCCACTTTTTCTTGGATTTTGCTTTGTACGTGCAGACGAGCTCTCTGTTGGTAACCATTGAAATATAAACTATTTTTGCACAAACAAATTAAAAATGTTTAGAAGTGAAGATGTAAGCATGGTGCGAGTGTACATCTCGCCCGACATAGCCAGGAATGCGCTGGAAGAGCTCGGACAGAGAGACATCCTGCACCTGGTGGCTCCAGCAGACAAAAAGCGAGAAAAAACAGAGCACTGCATTGAAATGGAAAAAATTCTGGCGAGAATTGTATTTCTAACACAAGAGCTGAAAAAGAACAAAATATCGCAGGTGAAGGGATCCAACATCCCCCCGCTGCACATGACGATAGAAAAGCTGTCAGACTCCATCAAAAAGCACTACTACAGGGTGGTGCAGCTTTCGCAGATAAAGAAAAGCACAGGAGAGGCGGTTGAAAAGATGCAGGAGGACGTGACAGTTCTGCAGGATCTGGAGAGAATATCCACAGAAGGCCTGAAAGACCTCGACTTTGACTCAGATAGAAGCTCAAAAGTAGGCCTTGAGTACGTGGCAGGCGTGATTTCCAAGGAGCAGATCAACACTCTTGAAGAGTTTTTGTGGAAGTCTCTCCACGGCAATCTTTGTTTTGTTTCCGTGGAGATGGCCACTCCGAAGAAAATGGGGTTTATTTGCTTCACGCATGGAGAGCGTGCGATTGAAAGAATAAGAAACATATGCACAAAGGTGGATGCAAGAATAGTGAGGTACGAGAACCAAAAAACAGAAAAAAAAGAGGGCGATCTGCTGAGCTTGTCCTCAAATCTGTCCCAGCTGACAAAAATGCACCAGATAAACACCGAAACTTTTTCAGCAGAGATAAAAACAATATCGCGAGAGGTGTTCGTCTGGAAGTACTACATCATCCGGGAGATAGAGATAGAAACAGCTCTGGCAAAGCTGGAAATAAACAAAGAGAACTCGTATCTGATGGGAGAGGGGTTCATTTTGAAGAGAAATGAAGAGAGATTCGGGCAGCTGATAAAGAAGATAGGAGAGGCCCACGGGGATGTAGCAGCTGAGATCATCCCCAGCACAGAAGAAGTGGTAAAGCCAACGTATTTTGAAACCACGCCAATCACAAAGTGTTTCCAAAACCTGACAAATGTCTACGGCATTCCTGCGTACAAGGAGATAAACCCAACGATATTCTCCATCAGCACCTTCCCTTTCCTTTTCGGAGCAATGTTCGGTGACATAGGACACGGGCTGATTTTGATCGCAGTGGGGATGTACTTCATCAGAAAAGAAAAAGTGCTGACAATACCTGAATTTTTAGAAATAATATTTGATGCAAGATATCTCCTGGTTTTCATGGGAGTGTGGTCAGTGTACTTTGGGTTCCTGTACGCAGACTTTATGGGGTGCTCATTTGGCCACTATCTATCAGCTTACGACAGCTATGGGCATAAACAAGGAAACTGCTTATTTGGGATAGACCACATATGGCACACAGCGGCAAATGGCCCCTCGTTTATCAACTCGCTGAAAATGAAGACAAGCGTGGTGATTGGATTCTGCCATCTTCTGCTGGGAATGGTTCTGAACGTCATAAATGCCAGGTACAACAAAGACAGAGCCAGAATATACGGAGTGATCATTCCGCAGATAATAATATTCATGGGGCTCATAGGATACATGATATTCCTAATACTCCTCAAATGGAATACGCCCAAGCCGTCATGGCCCGGGATTATTGCAGTGATTATTGAGATGGTTTCATTCAGGGAAGTAGCAGAAGAGCTGTACCCAGCACAGAACATCATCCAAAAGGGAATTATGACGGTAGTGCTTATGGCGTTCCCTGTCATGCTCCTATCAGAGCCGATCTACCGAATGGCCACAAAAACAGTTCCAGCGAAGAGCTCCATGGCGGACGTGTGGCTGCATTCTTTCATCGAGGGAATTGAGTTTTCAATGGGGCTGATATCAAATATCTCCTCGTATCTAAGGCTGTGGGCTGTTTCACTGGCACACGCTGAGCTAAGCGCGATTTTATTCACAAAAACCATAGGGAATACGAGCATAGACATTCCCCTTAGATTGGCTCTTTCTGTTATCTGGGTGCTAGGCACTTTTATCCTTCTTATTTGCCTGGAGGGGCTGAGTGCCACGCTGCACAGTCTGAGGCTGCACTGGGTGGAGTTTGGCTCGAAGTTCTTCAAAGGAGAGGGAACCCTTTTCAGTCCGTTTACGTTCAAGCCTTCTATTCTCCTGGACCAGGAAAGACCGCCAGGTGGCGAGGTTGAATAAGATAAATAAAAGGCACACATCTGCTATATTATCTTGCTATCTTTTGATTTACCACACATAAATATTTAAAAACAAAATTAGGTGTTCATCGATGTATCTTTGCATTAATAAACAAAAATATGTTCAGAATTCTTCTTGTATGCTCTTGTATCAGCTGTACAATACTTTCTTACACAAGATGTTTTCCTATTTACCAGCGGTCTTCCATCAATATGCTAGAATGCACTGAATAGTCCACTAAACACTCATAGATCATCAATGCATGGATCCAGTGAGCTGGATAGAATAAAGAGTAAGTGCATCTGTTTAGTTGTTACATGAGCTATGAAAATATAAATTATAAAGTTTTAGCTGCACACCTGCAAGTTTGAGTTTTGCTGTACAGCGCATAAAACAGTTTAAGAGATAAGTGGGACGAGCTCTACTGAGTCTGCTGGCTGGTTAAAGATAGAAAGTGTGCGGCTCTCAAGTGTTCTTGCCACTCTCGTGGGCACTGTAAATAAATATTCTTGTTTTTTTATTTTTTATGAAAATTGAAAGGCCAATAGAAAGGCGGTTCTCACAGCCTCCAGAAAATATTTCAAATATCATAAGGCATCTAACGGATCTTCCCGAAGAGGACATATATGCCTATCTAAACAATTTGAAAGAGTGGAAATACACAAAAACAGACCTCCTGTACTGGGTGGATGTTTTAGATAGATTTGATGCGATACTGAAGAACATCTCCACGACGTACAGCTTGGAGCAATTTCAAAATCATCCCATGAAAGAGACAGACAAGGAAACAGTGCATGCAATTCTGCAGTTCCAGAAGCTGCTGGTTGAGAACAGCTCCAACAAGAGCCTTTTCAGCTCGTTTGACGTGATAGAGCCGTACATCTACTCGTTTGAGCTCGAGCTTGTGGTCGATGCTCTCTATCTTGTGTCGTTCTTCGCCTCCAAGATACACATCCAGAGATCGATCAAAACAAGCATGAACCTAATGAAGATGGACACACTGAAGATCCTGATTGAAAGAGTGAAGGAAAAACCGCACCCCATATACACGTACTACGACGAGCACACAAACACGTGCAAGCGAGTGAACATTAAGAAAGCAGTCAAAAAGGGGCTGTACGGCCTTTCAGATAAGACAGTGCCAAAACAGGAAATCCGCAGATTTATTCACGCAATCAGATCGCACGAGCTGATCGAGCAGCTGGACAAATTAAAGATAATTCGCCTGCTCGCATTCAGCGCGCTGGTCTACTACAACTACTCGGATCTTCCCATAGACTCAGAGTTCATCAGCAGAGACATCCCAGAGACTCTGAACATCATCAACACGGAGAGCTACAAAATGAGAGAGGCAGCAGTGGTGATGATAGATGCGATTTTCAGAATGAGAATACGGCACTCTGCAGTGATCGCAGCAATGAATGCACAGTCGCACGAGGGCATGATAATGAACCTGCTAAAACACGTGATCAATGAAGATGTCCCAGAGCATTTCTCAGTGGCATTTTTCAACTTCCTCAGCTCCTGCTTTGCCTCTGCTCCGTGCGTCTCTGCCCTGTTCTCTGCAGGAATTGTCCAGTATGTGTGCAACACTCTCAAAGACAGATCTGACATCTCGTACAGAAAAAAGATGCGGTTGGTGATGGGCGCAAACACCTTCTTGTTCACGCTTCCTGCGCCCTTCACATGGTTTATATCTGAGAATGGCGTGGGAATACTTTCCAAGGAGCTCCTGAAGTCCGTTGAAACAGTGCTGGGCAATCTGAAGGACCACGATTTGCTGCTGTACATAAACTCGATCATGAAAATTATTTCGCAGCTGTTCAAGAACATAGGAACAGTGGAGGCAATGCGCGGGTTTCTGGAGGGCGAGTTTCCTCGCGCGATTAACCTGGTGCTCTTCCACTCAGACGAGTTTACGCCTTCCATTTTGGCGTATTTGTTCTCTGCAGTTGCTGACTACATCCACAATGAGCCATCGAATTTGCCGTTTATCATTGAGGCGGGAATATTCGATGGATTTGTGGAGTGCATGAAGAAAGAGCTGCCTGCTTCGCCTGACCTGCTGCTGGAGCTCCCCAACCTGATAGAAGCCTTCTTTTTGAACAGCGAGCTGATTAAGAAGATAGAAACAGAGAACATCCTCGACAAAATTTTCCAGAGTTTTGAAATGATCAATCTGTGCAACACCATTCTCTCGTATGACATCGCAAGGACATACGGCATATTTTTGGAGAATCTCGTGCGGCACTATCCCGTGATATCATCGACTGTAAAGGAAAAAATATACAACACAATGAAAAATCTGGAGAGTCTGATACCGCACACGGAGCCAGAGCTGATGCTTCTTCTGCTGGAGAATCTGTTTAGAATGGTGCACAGGGCTGTGTACAGGAAGACAACAAACAACCAGCTGATCACAGACAAAGGCCTGCTGAACAACAGGATAATAACGATGCTTACGCTGATAGAAATACCGCCGGACACAGAGCTGTACACGGACGTGATGAGCATACTGACAGAAGTGTTCAGCGAAGACCAGGCATACGTTATCTCGTACATTGTCAAGTTTGTCGACAGAACAATGAAGAATAAAATCACGCTGGAGAACATCGAGAGAATTAAAAGAATTTTGCTAATTGCAAACTATCTCCTTTTTAGGACGGAAGAGATCAACAAGCCCTTTGTAAAGCACTGCACGTCAAAAGGGTTTCTCCAGATCATCAAGAGAATCAGCCAGTACTTCAACAGCCTGAAGGACAAAATCACGTTTGCGAACAAACAGTACAACGAAACACTGATCAACCTCTACTACTCTTTCACCCTGGGGATACTGAAGAACTCGTACACGGTTAAAGACGCGACAAAGCAGTATTTGAAAATATTTGACATTTTGATCACAGAGGCGATTGAAAAGACAAACCAGAAGGACTTTGCAGACTATGCGACGCACATGCACGGGATCAAGAACTACCTCCTTTTGGACAAAGACACAAGCACATACCCCTCAACGCACTATTTTTCCGTTACGCACGACTATCTTATCGGCAGAAACATCAGCAAAATACTGCAAGATCACGCCAAAGCTCTGATCTGCATGCAGCAAACAATGGATCCGCTGGTTGTGAAGAAGGCAGTGTCTTCGATTCTTGAAGTTCTCTCGATCTACAGCAGAGGAATAAGCAATCTGTTCGTGCCAAATGCGCAAAATGCACAAAAGTCGAGAAACCAAGAAATAGAAGAAGACACTCTCATAATAACGGAGCTTCTTCTCTCGTACATAGACAAGAACAGCATAGAGCACCTCCTCAGCATTGTAAAAACAGCGTTCTATCTGACCCTGAAGAAAAAGATCCCAAAGGAAACAGAAAGAGAAAATGAGAACACTCCAGAGTACAAGAGAAGAGACTGTTTGGGGTCGTTTTTTATTTCTGTGTTTTTGTCGCTGCCCAAAGAGGAAACAGAGAACGTGCTGAATGCAGACATATTTACTATTCTGGTAAAAAACAAAAAAACTTTCAAACAGGTGTACAACAAGCAGTGCTACGATCTGCTGAGATACGCAGCAGTGAAGGAGTACAACGTGTACATGCATCTTTTCAACTATCTCCCAGAAATGGTTGGGCAGGTTGGAGAGTCAAAAGACCCTTCGTTCCTGCAGCTGTTTTCGATGGTGCTTACATTCACTGCAATGAAAGACACTTTGAAAAAAACAAATCTTCTGTCTCGGGCTGCAGGAGAGATACGAATGCACGAAACAGCAGACGCAGCAGTGCTAGAAGCCCAGGGCATTGTTCTCCTGGCCGTGGTGAAGCTGAAAATAGAATACGAGCTGAATATAGTAGTAGAAGACCCTATGGGCATACTGAACAGAATGTACGCAGCCTTGGAAAACAGCGAGTCAAAAGAAAGCCTTCTAATTCTGATTAATCTGATCATCAGGAGAATGACGGAGAGCAGAGAGGCAGTCAGTGAAACAGTGGAGACAATCATCAAAAGCAAACACGTGGGCAAGTTCAGAATGTACACGACACACACGACATGCAGCAATTTGAGGAGCACCATTTTCTACTCTATTTCGACTTTTCTCAGATACATAGCAGATAATTTTGAATACGTTAACCTAGGATGGGACGACATCAGACACAAGCTGCCAGATGATGCAGCACAGAACAGCAACAGCACAGGCAATACGAACGCAGACAGTCTGGAAATAACAGAGGCTGCGTTGGAAACACTTTCAGACGGGTTGTTCACTAAAAAGATAAAGGTGTACCCGAACATCAAAACAGAAACATTCGGAATACTTTTTAAGACAGCATCAGACAATGTGATGGAGCGCATTGCGAGAACACACTCGCTCTGTCTTCTTGTCTCGGCATTCCCACAGCTGCTTTCTTCGTTGGATGAGAGTGATTACGCACATTTGGACAGACATCTGCAGGCACACGCAGGGTATGCTAAGTCACTGAAACAAAGTCAGGTGCCAGAAGAAGAGAAATCGCTGGCGCACTGGTCTGGACACTTAATCATCGTCATTTTCAATTACTCAACATGCGTGGAGATCAAGTCATATCTGCTGAAGAAGATTCTCTCCATGCTTTCAGAGTCAGTTACAAACACCGTGATATTTTCTGAGCTCATCCAGGAGCTGCTTGTCACGAGGTTCAGCAAAAATACCTTTGAGGAGAACACTAAGCTGATCAAAAAAATGAACGCACTGGATGCAATCATCAAAAGCACAATGGAGATAGACGAAAGAAGGAAAGACTACTCGAAGGTAATAGACATACTCACCAGGCCAATTGAATACATCACGAGAATACTGGCAGTGGACGAAACAGAGGCATTCTATGAAGAGGTCAGCCAGTCAGAAGAAGAAGTGTTCTTTGAAGACATTGATGAAGGATACATGGAAGACTTTGACACAGACGAAACAATGGACAGCGACCAGGTGGTCTATGATGACACGGAAGAGCACTCGCATGAGATAGCAGAAGAAAGCACAGAAGACTCGCAGACAGTGTACACCTCCGAGTCAAATAACTACGAAGAGTATGTCATATCAGAAGAAGAGGAGATATCAGAGAGCCAGTCAAGCAGCAGCGAGCCAAACAAGAAAAATGAGTTCTTAAAGTCCCTGAACATGCCGTCAACCTCTAAGCTCCTGGTCGAAGAGATGGACGTGCTTCTGGATGGAGAAAAAACAACCTTCGTGCAGAAAATACTGGAAAGCATTGTCCTCTCTACACTCCAGGAGAAAGAGCCCATGAAAGAGCCGCTAAAAGACAGCGCAGATTTTGAGAACAACTTTGAAGATGCTTTTAACGGTAATGATGAAGAGACTCTGTTGGAAATAGGCGATACGCACTCAGAGGACACAGACTACGAGGAGTACGGTGACTACAACGAAGAGTACGAAGACGAAGAAAGCTTTGCAACAGGAGAAGAAATAGTGATAGGCGACGAGAACGGAGAAGTGCCCGTGTTGGATGTTGAGATACTGAACAATCTGCCCCTCGATATATTGGAAGATACGGTTTTCCAGTTCTACCAGGACAGAATCGCATCCAGCACAGAGTACAGGCCAATAAGCCTGCACTTCCTCAACAGGCTGAGGGAAGAGGTTCGCAGCTTATTCGAAGAGCAGGAGACGAGATACATGGAAACTTTTGCAGGAGAAGCCCCCAGAAGAGAAGAAAAAAAAAAGAAAGTGCAGGAGATACCTTTCATTGCAGAAAGAGACGCGTCTGCTTCTGTCGCAGCTGAGCTAGTGGCTGAGTTCATACGGATGATCCTGCAGTGCACCAACAGACGGCATCTCTACAGAATTCTCCACAATATCTCAGCAAATAAAAGCATCCGAGAAAGCGTGGTTTCTGTGCTTGTAGGAAGCATCAGCCAAATATCAGGGGCTGTGGGTCCTGGAGTCAGCGGGAATATGTCTCCATTTGGAAATTCAAGCAGCAGCAACATCAATGCAAACTACAATGTTTCTCCAGGCAGCGCCCTTGCAACCTACACGAACAGCGAAGTGCTCCCTGATGTTATTGTAAAGAGGAGCTACGAAGCACTGACTTATCTCTGCACAAAGTCCTCTGATTTTACAACGGTATTCAGCGGGAATGTAGAGTTGATCAATCAGATACTGAACAGCATGAGCAAAAGAACACTCGCTGAAAGCACCAAGCTAATCAGCACGCTGGGAGACGGGTTCAAAAACGACAGAGTATCGGAGAATGACCACAGCAGAGTGAATATCCAGAAATTCATCGAGCTTTTGGAGTATGATATGACAGATGATACGTTCACATACTTCTCAGACTTTATCAGCAAAACAGAAAAGTTTTACCGGATGGTCTATCTGAACTACCTGATGGCTGGCAGCGCCAGGCTCCTGGACGAGTACATGAGCAGGAAAAACGAGTTTAACAGCCAGACAAACCATAAGAGCATTATGCGCCTCGTACGGATGGTGAGTCTCGTGGCAATACTTGGCGTAACAGATGAGCACCTTGACGGGCTGCTGAACATCAGAGAAATGCCGTTCTGGGCACACTATTTCAGCTGCATTCTACCGCGAGAGAGAGAGTCTCTTTTTCCCTCTTCCCTTTTGCCGATGTTCAAGGCTTTTATTATCGTGCACTCGATAGAAAAATACGTTGGAAGAAACAGCGAGAATGTGAACGAGTTTGCAAAAATAACAACAGAGCCATCTATCTACCACGCAGTCATAGAGCAGGAGAAAGACCTGATCAACTCTTTCATCCAGGCCGATCCTGATCTGCTGTTTATGTCGTTCTCCGGGCTGCAGAAGAAAATACTCGATTTCGACAATAAAAGAATTTTCTTCTACAAAAAGATAAGAGGAAGCGTGCAGCAAAAGACCACTGTGCCTTTGATGGTGCAGCGGGGGGCAGTCTTTGAAGACACATTCCACCAGCTGATGCGCCTCGCAGGGGAGCAGGTGAGACACGCGAAGTTCAACATAAAGTTTGTGGGCGAAGAAGGCGTGGATGCAGGCGGCTTGACGAGAGAGTGGTACTCCGAGCTGAGCAAGGAAATGTTCAACCCGAACTATGCGCTGTTCACGCCAATAGGAGCATCGTACCAGCCAAACCACAACAGCCACATAAATCCAGAGCATTTGGTGTACTTCAAGTTCATTGGGAGAATAATCGGAAAAGCTGTCTATGACGAAATGACAGTTGACTGCCATTTTACGCGGGCATTTTACAAGCGCGTGCTGGACATACCTGTAGACTTAAGCGACGTGGAGACTTTGGATCCAGAATTCTACCGGTCTCTTGTGTGGATACTGGAAAATGACATCGAGAATGTTCTGGAAATGACGTTTTCAATGGAGCAGGACAGATTTGGAATAACAGAGATTATCGATCTGAAGGAGAACGGAAGGAACATTGCGCTTACGAACCACAACAAAAGAGAATACGTCGAGCTGATCTGCGGATTTAAGCTTGTCCGAGTTGTAGAAAGACAATTAGCAGCTTTTATTGAAGGATTCTTTGAAATTCTCGACAGAGATCTGCTGAAAATGTTCAATGAAAAAGAGGTTGAGCTTCTGATCAGCGGTTTGCCCGAGATAGACGTTGATGACTGGCGCAACAACTCGATATACATCGGGTACACCTCAGAGTCGCAGGTTATTCGGTGGTACTGGAGGGCAGTGCGCAATTTCTCGATGGAGGAAAGAGCCAAGCTACTGCAGTTTGCAACAGGAACATCGAAACTGCCGCTTGAAGGATTTGCAGGGCTGCGGTGCCAAAATGGAAACCAGAAGTTCCAAATACACAAGGCTTCAGGAAGCTCAACAAGGCTCCCCACAGCACACACGTGTTTCAATCAGCTGGACCTCCCAGAGTACGACTCGTACGAACAGCTCGTCAAAGCTCTTTTGTTCTCAATTGAAGAATGCTCGAGTGGGTTTGGTTTTGCCTAGTTAAAATAAATTCTGATAATTATGAATAATTTTTTATCTTTTGCCTTGTAGAGTTATGATAGTGCACTGAAATATACACTCTTACGCAGCTGTTTGGAAATAAAAAGAATAAGAATAGAATAAGGGCATTGGATAGAGGATGTTCTTCTTCTCGGATCCTTCACAGATAATGACTGTAAATTAAATGTTTAATTAGCACAAGTCTAGGGCCTTCAATGGACCTGAAATTAAAATTGAAGATATTTAAAGACATTTTGTTTAATAAATGGGCAGTGGAGTGGTGCTGTTGGGCCTTGTGATATTTTATCGCTAGCTGGCTGTACTACACCAAGTTGTTTTGTTTAAAATGTTTATCTGCTGCATCTTCGTCATGTTTTCTCTGGGGTGTTTGAGATGCTCTGCGCGTAAACTGTTCTAACCCTTTATCTTTAGAACATCTAACAGCAACAGTACAGCGCCAGTGCAAATCAGTCACAAAGCTGTGACAGCCACTTCACTGTCCCTTTATTACTCTAACGGCTATCCCATGCATTGAATGGCTGGAAATAGATTACCGCACATTTGAATGTTTTATTTTCTGCTTTTGTAGAAACTAGGCCTCTGCCTGGATATATCTTGCCTAAAAGCTGCACTTCTTAGGCCAAAATACCATTTGATCCCGCACAGCTCAACTGGCATTTGGCTTTTATTGATGGTTCTTGATTGATGTGTGCATTAAAGCTCTTTTAGCACACGATATGTTTCTATATTTATGGGATGTACCAAGATGAACTTTCGTAAAGGCAGGATGTAAAAGATTTAAAATATCTGCTGTGACTCTAAGCCATTCAGTGGTCAATAATAAATTAGCTTTTGGAAACTTCTTATTTTTGAAATATGCACACTGCACACACCATCCATAGTGGTTTATCTAGCTAATTCAAATGCTAATAAGAGTTATCTCTGCATTACAGCTTTTCATCGAGTACTCGTTGTATCTAAGGATAAAGCTCACTGCAGACAAATTATGCTCATCTATTTGCTGTATTTGTCTAGCATAAAACTATTTAAAAATGAGTGTTAATATTCTTTACAAACTTTTGCAATTTTAATTATGCTCTTGGTTCTTGTTGCTTCTGGTGGGTTTCCCATGGGCTCTGAGTCTTTGAACGACCTGATTGTTTTTCTTACAATGTACCTGCGCACTGGCCACGATAACAGACTGAAAATTGTGCAGGGCCTCTCCATTTTGTTCGACTCTGAGCGGCATTTGGAGGAAGAGCTAACGGACAGAATGCTGCTGGGGTTTAACTCAGAGCTACTGAACAGCTCGTGCAGCGACTTTGGCTACGCTTTACTGCTTGTGCAAAAAGAGAAAAAAGATCTGAGCAAAATACTCTTTTTCTCCACCGAGAAAGTTTCACTGAACTTTGTGAAGTGCGCATTCACTGCCAGAAAGCTAAACATTCATGTGGACTGCGTGGTTCCTAACGACGGGTTTGTCTCTCAGATATCAGATGTTCTGAAGCGCCCTGCCTTCTGTATTTCGTCGGAGGAATCTCTTTTTGAGTACTTGCTGGGGATCCTTTCGCTGGACTTTGGAAAAATAAGCAGAAAAACATCGCAGAGGTTCTGCATATGCCACAGCCAAGAGATAAAAACAGGATATTTGTGCCCCATCTGTCTTGGGCTGTACTGTAAGTTTGTTCCGCTCTGCAAGAACTGCAAGACGAGATTTATTTTCTAGGACAGAAAGAGTAATTCAACTGTAAATAGCTGCCAATACTCTTGCAGATAGGATGGAAAGTAGGGCATAGAGATCTCTTGAATATCAGCAGATATAACCCAAGAGAGTTCAGAATTCGATAGAATATTATTATTGCATGGTTTCATGAAAAACGAGTAGAAGAATAAAATGAGAGTGTGAAGCTCTTACTGCTCAAGAATAGAGGAAATTAGCAAAAGATCCAGAAATAAATAAAACTATTTGAATGTACAAAAATAGTCAGCTTAAAAGAGAAAAATAATTATTTTTATTTAATCAGGATGAATTTACTAGTTAAGGTCACAGCAGTGCTAAGTTTGGTGCCCTTGATTTTTTCAATAGAAAATGAGAGCATAGCCATAGGAGAACATAAGAGTGCTGAGTCAGAGCCAAAAAAGGTGTTTTCTGTGTGTTCAGAAGAGAATATATTTATGGAGTATTTTCATAAGTTCGTTATGCTAGACAGTGAGCAGAGCAAAAGCAAAGAATTAGTAAGAACTGAGTGCGATGGTTTTATCATAAACCCAACATTCCAAGAAGTGATGAGCACGTTAAACGAAAAAGAAAACTATGCTCTTATTTGCAACTACTCAAGGGATAAAAGCAAAGATAGTAACTTTTCTGTTCTCATGTCCACGAAAGAGAATGAGAATTGGAAAACAAGAACGACTTATATTTCAAATATCAGAAACCCTACGTGCATTCCGACTCTCCTTACTCTTCGGTCTTCTTTAGATCAGAAGAACGTGATCAAGATAAATGCGGCATATAATATTGAGCCTAGTGAGATTGCTAAGCATAAAATAGAAGCAAAAAATTTACTTAATATTTTAAAAGAATTAGACACACAGGACACAAAGAATAGAAGCTTATGCATAGAAAAACTAAATTTTGTTATTAAAAAAGTCAAGAAACTAAAGGAACTCCGAATTATTATTGATAGGGCAGAATACGAGATAGAAAACAGCGAAGGGCCTAAAGACGAGAGTAAGCTGCTTGAAAAACAGAAAGAATATTTTATTATTCTATATGCAATAAAAGACTTTCTCTCAAGGTTAAATAAACTACTAGGGCCTTTCCTTGATGCTCCAATAGAGAAAGTTAATAATATCATACGAGAAGGAAAGACTTCTTCTTTTGGAAGATACAATACTGAGTTGGACAAAATAATTTCAGACATTGAAAATACATTGCTGCTTATTGATCTCTCTTTTGATAGTACGGTTATATGGGAGCATCCTATTATCATCAGAAACGACACGATGACAAAGTTATCCAACAGAGTATGGGTTGAGTGCATGCCTCAAGATGGCAAGATTTTCAGAAAGACATACCCACTGACAAATGAGTATGTTTTAGAACTCATCAAGACAATGTGCGGTGATTCGCCTGCAATAATGCAAGAATAAAATAAATTTATTAGCCATTTCTTTATCTAGTTTATGCATCGTATTTCACTATATATGTGTGATCTTCTGAGCATGCATATGAGCGTAGCACAATCAATAAACTTACTAGTGCACTAGCACATTTATTCTTCATCTCTAGAATTTGCAGTATTTCTATCACACATGGCTGATATAAGCTGTTTAACCAGGGGATTGTCTAACAGGTACTCTTTTCTGAAAACGTAGTTAAATTTAGTTATTATGAAGCTGACCAGCACACTCTTTCTTTTTTTTGTTTCACTGTCATTTTGGACAATAATGGGATTGTTCCATTTCATCAGTTCTTCTGTCTCGTTGCTCCCTATTTTTATCAAATTATTGACTAGGTATGTAATTTTATCTACTTCACTCTCAGGTATACTGGCCAATCCATCTTCCTTCAAGTTGAGCTGGTCTACCATCTTCTGCAGGCTGATGGGTATAGGATTTAGCTCTTTCAAGTGACACAGATATGTTTTTATTTCAGCGTTAATGTCTCTAAATGGAGCATTTTCTGTCTTTAAACTGTCAAGAAGGCTAGCCAGCTTTCTCAGCTTCTCAAGTGTTTTTATTCTCTCGTCTGCTGATAGTCTTTCGAAAACGTCAAAAGAGAACCTCAGCTTATCTGCATATGCGCTGAACGAGGCTATATCTGAGTGCAGATAGTTTATTATGGCAAGCCTGGTCTTTGAAAAGTATGCAATGATGGAGTCATCCTCGAAGGACTGCGTGAACATTGATTGTGCAGAAGAAGAGCCAGATTCACACATGGTGTTGGACAAACTGTTTTTGTTCAGGATGATAGAAAGTGGCAGGGCATCATCTTTTTCAATGTCCAAATGGTTTGACGTGAACAAGAAACATTCTTCTGTGTTCTCCTGGAAAAGGCTCATGACAGCATCAGAAGAGGGATTTATTATGCCTTCAAGCTGTTTGATCTGCTGTTTCTCACATGAGCTGTTCTTTTTACTAACTTCGTCGATAAGATTGCTAATAATCTCATCATAATTATTCACTGGCACACTTTTCGTTTCACTTGATCCATAGACAGTGGGTAATATAATGTTTGCAGTTGCTACCATTAGAGGAAATAGGAACTTCATAGCCAAATAAAATTATAAAATTATTTAACTCATTGGAGCTAGCAGCTAGCTGTTTATAGCAGTAAAATATTTTCAGACATGGTAAAAAATCACCATATACACACAAGTTCTACTTCTTATCTTACACGAAAAGCTGTTTTACTTTTCACAGAGCAAATGCACCTATTTGGTTGATCTATGGAGAGAATAATTGGTATGTAAAACAGCGATCTATCAATCAGCATTTTGATAAAAATATAAATAATTCTAGCGATTGAATAAAGAAAAAGCATCTGCTATATGGCCCCAAGGGAAAATCAGAGGAAATTACACTTAATGGTACAGATACTAGCGGTGTTTAGTCTACTGCTAGTGGCTGTAGAAGCATCAGTAGAAAGAAGAAGAAGCTTGTACTCTGAAAAAGATGAAGACCTGCTGATGGAGTTTATTTTTGACATGAACAGACACAACATACTAGAAAACAAAGAGTATGCAAGAAGGATAAATGATAAAGTAGTGGACTGCTCGTCTTTTAATGATGTCATGAACAGCTTGCAGGATCCAGACTCCTATGCCACTCTTATTGTAGACATGGGGAAAATACTGCTAAAAAAAAAGAAAGTTGGAGAGTTTGTTCTACTGGCATCTCCAAAGAGCATGGCGAGTATAAACCCACAAAAATATACTTTTATAAGAAAAGAAGCGCACAGAAGAGGCATAGCCCGAAGGCTCAACTGGCCCTACAGACCTAGAGCTACTAATGCCAATGCAAGAAACTCTGCTGGCATGCCATATGAAAAGACTCTGCCATCAAAATCCACCTGTGAGCTATACAATGGCGCAGGAAACCCTTCCTTTCCCTTTTATATGTTGCGCGGCAAGGACACTCCATCCCTAAACACTTACTACGATCTGTCTGGTGAAAACAGAAACATCAAAGACATGTTCATAGTGTATTTTGGCTCTGTAAATTCACGAAATTACAACTATTTCATAAACTATTGGCACATGGATTCTAATGATTTTTTTAAATCTGTAAGGGATGAAAAAACAAAACGAAGATATATGTATAAAAATATTTGTGCATGGGAGCATCCTTTTATTTTAAGAAATGTCCTTGATCCAGATATTGATGACACGGTAGAAATCGAGTTTAGACCAAGAAACAGAGAAAATTTTGTTAGATTGAAATACAATATAAACGACAGAGTAGTGCACATGGCTATACATGCAATTTGTGGTGTCTGTTTTCCCACTTCTTACATAAAAAAAGATGACTGCATACTTCCACCCGAGATCTCATCAGTTTCAAAAGTATACGAGTTTGTTAATTTCTTGGATTTGAATATTGAACAACCAGAGTCTGCAATGCCAAAGCCTGTTTTTCCGCACAAGATAAAAGAAATAGACGGCGAAAATGTCTCTTATGATAGTCTTAAGAGCTTAACGAGTAAAAAATTCGTTGAAGAACAGTGCATAAATGCTTTTAAAGACAGAAACACTTTTGTTTTTCTAAATGCAAAATTTACAGCAAATGGCAGAAACATCATACTTTTAAAGCACACAGAACACTCAGAAAACACAAAATTCTTTGAGTGCTTGAGCAGGTATACATCTAAGAACTACATATACTGCAAAGAAAGCGATTTAAACATAAGGACAGCATGCACAGAAGCAATAGTGATAATACCTAGAAGGTTTTCAACACCCAGAGCTAATTATAGCATCTTTGCAAAAGAAGAGCTATTCAGACTGGCAGAGGTTGATAGAAGCTCTTTAACCATTTGGAACGACTCTATTTACTCAGATATAGCATGGGTTCGAATAGGAAAGTCGTTATTGACAGAAGAGCTTCTAGATTCTTTGAAATACAGTCCCATAATAGACCTAACAACAGAGATAAAAGGTAAGCTAGAGCTGAAGAGCATCGATGAAGTAGACAGTGTTGTAGTTCCATATGACGTAAAAAGTAATAATTTCGAATGCCTTTTATTCTATCTAATAAGAAATTAAGCATGAATACCAGACATTGCAATAAATACGGTTCTTAAAATAATTTGGCACTTTCTGCATGCATTGTGCAATATTGCTTTTATATCTTTCTGATTTTAATTATCCCGTCTATGATGTAGCCATTAAACACTATCTAGAAAGAGTGCAGCTCATGCTCAGCTAATGTTTAAACTGTCTCTATTTCACCGGATACACCTTTTTTCCACTCAAACATACAAACTCTGGGCTGCAAAAAAATAAATATGTACTATAATAATAATATACACATCTTGTCCAATAAAATAAACTTGTTCATATAAAGAGAAAGATAATTCGTAAGGTAAATGAAAGACAAGAGAGACACGCCATCCAGCACACGCTCAGCGGGCGGAAGATGTCCACTGCGGGAGAAATGCGTAGTATCTTTGCTTCCCTTTACGCCCTGCTACATTTGTGGCAGAGGAATCTTATCAGAAGAGTGTGTTTCAGATGCCAAATCGCACTTCATGGGATTTAAGTACATTGATGGCACACAATACATGGTTGTGGACAAAAAAACAGAGAACTCTGTGTATCTGTACACAGATGAGCCGCTAAACACAGAGTACTGTGTGTGCGTCAGGCCAAGAGACGCATTCACGCCCATAGGCACACAGTTCAACCTAGAAAGATCATTCACCCGCGGAAGTAGCATAGAATATCCGCCCCTTTTCCATCTTATTCCTGACTTTCCCGTGTACTCGCCATATACCATTTCAGTGGACAGCATAATAACAGGAAAAGACAAGAGAACAACCTGCATGATAAAGAACATCCCAAACAAGCTGAACATAAGACAGCTCATAGAGGTGCTGTCGTCTATCTGCTACAACGCGTTTGACTTTGTCTACTTAAGGATGGACTTCAAAAGCAACTGCAACAACGGCTATGCGTTTATTAATTTCAGAAAGGCAAAATACATCCCGATATTCCTGGACGCAATACAAGGGAAAAAGTGGAAGAACTTCAGGAGCGACAAAAAAGGAGACATTGCGTATGCGAGGATACAGGGCCTCCGCATGCTCCAGAGCAGGTTTAGAAGAAGCGATATCCTCGCTGCGAACAAAGAGTTCTGGCCTGTGGTGTTCAATAAGAACGGCGATGAAGTGCTGGCCACAGAGTGGAAGCTGTTCCAGTGATCAATAGATGGCACTAATCGGCGCCACAACAAAAGAGACTTGCAAGAGATGCTAAAATTGGTTTTATTTCTTTTGTGCTTTACATTTCGCCATTAACTCTTTTGATTTCTTCAGCAGCTCCATCTGGTCTGAAAGAATGAACCCGCTTTCTATGCACGCATGTGCGTCGTAGAACCACAGCCCGTACACTTCCATTTCGTTGCCTACGGCTTTCTTTATAATAATAAATTTATCATAATTTTCTATGTCGTATGTGCTCTTGTCTATGAGCAGATGAAAGTCAGACGGGTTTTTTCGATTTAAAATGTGGATGGCTGTAGAGGGTATCTTGTCTCTTTTGTACAGATGGATGACTCCCTCTATGTCCATGCTCACCCACTCTCCCTCGTACTTGAACACAACCGCGTTGACAGACGAGAGCAGCAAATGGCTGTAGCTCGGGTCTTTATTTTTCAAAAGTCTTTTTACTATTTCACTTGTCTCCAATTTCCTCGAGTGCATCACAACCCCTGCTTATATTGTTATTTTTTTATTTGCTTATGGTTCAAATTGAAGTACTGAAGAAGGTGCACACTTCAGATATAAAGGACGGAGTAGTGCTGGACAGCAATTTATACACCGTGGGCAGAGACAGAAGGATACAAGTGACAAGCCTTGCCAATCTGGACAGTCTATGGGAGTCTCCAGACCTTGGGGCAGTGGTAAACTCGATATGCGAGAGAAATAAAAAAATATACGCAGGCCTGCAAACAGGAGAGGTGCTAGTCTATGAAGCCAGCAGCGATAGTGTAAATAGCAGCGCAGCTGAAAACGGTAAAGATGGAAGCGCTAGTGAGGGCGGTAGAGATGTAAAAAAAGATAAAAATAATTACTCGCTTACTCTGATAAGCAGAAAAAAAGTTCACAATGACAATGTTTGCTCGCTGAGTGTGTTTAGTGAGGGCGTGATAAGCACGTCATGGGACAAGACCATGGGGATACTCAGAGAGGAGAAGGATGCTGAAATAGTGAGCTTAGAAAGCGTTGCATGGTCAGCTAAGGAGCTGCCAGATAGAAGCAGCATAATAGCTGGGTGCATTGATGGAAGTGTTGCGATAATCAAAAAAGTAGACGGAAAATACAAAAAAACAAGAGGGCTGAAAGTGCAGGCAACGTGCATAAGAGATGTGCTCGTGGAGGATGGGAAGTACCTAACAGTTTCCAACACGGGAGTAGTTATTATGGCAGAGCAAACAGGGCGCACAATCTGCAAAATTAATCTTGATAACACCAGCTTCAGAATGAGCAAGTATTCAGTCGATGGAGAGCAAGGATACATTGTGGCAGCAGATGAAGGAATGGTCTATCTCCTAAATGATAGGCTAGAGAAAGTGGCTAGCATTGCCATTCCTTCTATCTCTTGCTGGAGTGCAATATCATGCAACGATAAAATAGCTGCATTCGGAGGAGACGGGCGCATCTACGTATTTGGCAGCACAGGAAGTGAAAAGTACCAGAAAGAAATGGAGGCACTGCAGGATGCGCTGAACAGCGAAAAAACAAAGGAGGACAGCTCAGCAAAAGACCAAGGCAGCACTAATGAAGCTGAAAACAAAGGAAAGTACAAGGTGGTCGATGATAAGGTGTACGAGCTAAAGGATGGAGTGTGGGAGCTGTTTGGAAGTACGGTGGAGAAGAAGAAAAAAGACCACACAATTACTATTACGCTGGGGGAGAGGAACTACTCCCTTTCCTTTGATAAGACAGAAAAGTACGAAGAGGTAGCCGATGGGTTTGTCCGAGAAAATGGGCTGAGTAGTGAGTATATCCCAGAAATAGTCGAATTTCTGAATGAAAATTTTAAAAAACAGAAGCCAAGAGACGTATCTAAGTACTTTTTGTACGACACGCTGGACCTGGAGAACGTGAGCAAGAGAATAAGCAGTTTCCAGAACAGCGAGAAAGTGATTGAGTTCCTGAAAAAAGTAAAAGATGGAAAAAACATAGGAGAAGAAGGGGACTCAGAGATCGAAGTAATACTCAGCGAATGGCTGGAGAGCGGCACAGAAAGAGTGGCTGTCCTGGACATCTACAAATACCTCATATCCAAGGGAGCAGATTTTGATCTTTTTTTCCTGAAGGGCCTCGATGTGTTTTCATGCAACAAGATAGCACTTGTGTACACAATGATCTCCACGAATGTCCTGGCAATGAAGCCAGAGTGCAGGTCGCTGGTAGAAAATACAGTGGGAAGGATAATTGACAGACAGCTAGTAAATTCAAAAGTCATCCAGAACTTTAAACACAACAAACACATATAGTCTTCTTATTCGATGTATCACATACTCAGCGCACAATCCACAGGGTATAATCAATAAAGAGTATAAATAGTTTTTATGAATAATCATCACAGGTGTAATCCAAAGTAAGACATGGCGCTATAGTGTGATTCTAGCTCAAACTCAATCACTACTTTATAAATGAAGATACGAATAACTGGCTGATCCATTCAACGCGATGTAGTAAGTGAATAAATCTATATTGAGCCGTTTTTATGGCTCTAAGTTTCCAATAAGTAAATAATTTAATTTTAACTGTGCAATAATAAAGAAGAATGTGCCTGCTTTTATTCGCACTATGCTATGGAGCTAGAAAATATTTTAAAGGCGTAAAAATGAGCTTTAAATTTAAGTTTTAGCAAAATTTTTATGGTCATATTGAGAATATCCTACATTTTAGAAGTTCTGGCCGTGGCTGGTGCCCTGCGAATGGCAGCAAACTGTTCGGTGGACACAGAGGAGACGGGTTCTATCCTTGATACTACAATTAGTGACTTAAATAGCATTGACTTCACAGAAAATCCTTATGAAGCAGTAAGCAGAATGAACACCCTTAGAAGAGATTTCAGCAAGAGCCGCGCATCAATTATTTTAAATGAGATTGCAGCAACAGTCGATGAAGACCAGAAAACAATGTCTGCTACTTTCTTAAAAAACATAAAGTTTTTGAATATTCTGTCTGAGCACGAGCTTGAGAACACGCTGCCAACGAGACTCCTGCACATTCACAAAAAATTCACGGGACACATACAGCTATTCAACAGCGGTCTGTTGGATATAGTCAAGCTGATAGAGTGTTCTATCCCCCTGCCTGAATACAAGGTGCCTAGGAGTCTGACAGGAATAGACGAGTATTTTGAAAAGCTGAAGGCCTTCTACAAAATAGAGGACAAAGTGAAAGAAGCCAAAAGATTCAAAAAGTACATAAAAAAACTGCAGAGAGGAGGAAAAACTGTCATAAGAGCCATCTTCAATGAAAAGGGAGTGCTGACCTTCGACGGAATACCGAAAGAGGTCTCGGAAATAATAAAAAAGGAGCTCAAAAACACATACTTCATCTCGAACATAAACAAGAAGCTGCAGATGAAGTATCTGAAGAACCTGATAAAAATAAAAATAATGCTGGAAAAGGAAGAGCTGCTGCAGAACAAAAAAGCATCGAAGATGATCAAGGAAAAACTGTCGCTGCAGGGGATAACAGAAGAAGACATAAGCTACAAGTTCTCAGACAGGGTAGAGAATAGCCAAGACAAATTTGTGGAAAGAATTGAGCAGCTGTTCAAGCTCAACAAAACAGAGTCCATGGAGTATGCAATGACTGAGAAAGTGAAAAAGAAAATAAAAATAAACCTGAACAAGCTGAAGAGAAACCGCAGCGAAAACGAAATCACAATGAGCAACCTAATCATCACCTCAATATTCAACCTCATAACATACTATCTGATTCTGGAGGTAGAGCAGGTGCCCGACCTGAAAAAGCTGATCAAAGACATCCAGAGCTACTTTGACGGAATAAAGTCAGCGAGAGTGATCTTCGAGATACTGGTGAGAATCGAAAAAGACTACGACCGCAGAGAGAAAACAGACCAGATACTGAACGTATTTGTGTGCACGGAGCAAAAGTCGCTGTACCCAAGGATGCCTGCAAAAGTGAAGAATATGAACAAACTCCTGGGAGACATTCTCATAAGCGAGCTGGAGGAAATGGAGGGAAGGGCAGAAGCAGACGAAGACACAAGCGATGATGAACACGTGGTCAACGCGCTCTCCTACATACTAAACACAAAGTACCTGAAACTCCCAATAAAATCCTATCTAAAGTATGCCAAAATACTATCGGAGATCCTGGCGGTGCACTACAACACAGAAACAGTTATGGAAATAGACGAAGACGACAAAAACATTTTTCTGCACGATGTTTCGATGCACGACTTGATATTCTACCGGGCTCTTACTCTGATGTCCTTTGAATATATACTGAGCAGCGCTGAATTTGACGGTTTGACGATCTATGCTATCCACGTAATGGACCACGCCACAGAGCAGCACAGATCATTCAGACAGTTCCTTCTAAATTAAGCCAAACAGTCTTATTGCCACAGCCTTGTACAACCAGCCACACATCTTCCATAGTACTATTAAATAGTCAGCATTATCAATAAATTTCTATTAAATTACCTATTGTGGAAATGCAGCAATTGCTCACACCATTTTTGCAAAACTGTGAAAATGTAGCAATGCTTGTTTATTCATTTTATGCTCTTCTTCTTTGAACATTTTTATTCATGGCCAGCGGACTCGCTATGGCAGCGTATGTTGCATCAAGCACATTGCTCTTTCTTTCCTGGGTCTCTTTCATCGACCTGTTAAATTTATCTACATCCATTCGGTATTTGTTGTACTGCGCCACTGAAGTGGAAACTCTGTTCAGGAGATTCAAGAACGTAACAAGCTCAAATCGGTCGAGAGCAATTGGATTGCCCTGGGCCTTTCTAAGGAGCTTAATCGCGCACTTCAGCCCTTCAAACTGCACCTTTCCCCACACTTTGCACCGCATGCAGTCAACGCACCCCATGTACTTGAATACTTCTTCACATCTTCTAACGGTATTTTCATCGCTTTTGTATTCACTGTAATCATACGTCCTATTTTTAAGCAAGGAGTTCTTCAGAGAGTCTATGGCCTGTATTCCGTCTTTCGTCTGTGCTATGCTTGACAGATCAGAGATGGCCACCGGCAATAAAGAGATAAGGAAGTCAAGCGTATACCTCAAATTGTTGAAATACGCTGGCGTTACCTTCTGCTGCATCAGCGCATAGTTCATGTACAGCTTTCTGTTTTCTGGATCTTCGTTGTAGAAGGAGCACAGATGCACAGAGACAGAGCAGTGGACACCGCTCAAAAGAACGTTCAGCAAAGGATCGTTTCTTCCCAGTTTGTGGATGGCATCCCATACAATTGATCCGTTGTATTTTGTGTATCTTTCCAGGACTGTTCTCAGATCAACCTCCACTTTAGTTTTGTGCGTACCATTTGCTGTCATTTTTATTGTTTCTCCTATCTCTTCTCTGAAAGTGTTTTTTAGCTCATACTCGTCGTTTTCTTTCTTGTTTTTCTTTCTTATCGCCAAGTCACAGCCGCTGGAGCACTCTCTCAGCTGTCTCTTCAAGAACTCTGGGCACTCGTCGTCGATGGTCATCACTACTTTCGAAAAGTCGCTTGTTGAGCATGCGACGGCTACGTTTTTCCGCATCATCAGACTGTTGTACAGCGCTACCTCCGCTGCTGCGACTCTACCAAACGAGACAAAGAACACATACACTCCCAGCCAACACAAAATCATAAAAAAACAAATCACAATTTATTTATTTTAGGGCCAAAAGTAAAATGCTTTCTAAGATGACAATGGAAAACAGGAAGTACATCTTTCTTTTTTTGATTGTAATTTCGTGGTCATTTGAGATAAGAAAGTACTTCAAAGACTTCCCCAAGAACAGAGCAAAGGAAATCGTCAGAAAGATCGAAGACATCTTTGAAAGCATGATGGGAAAGAGCGTGGATATTATTTTCATTATCGTAATTGTCACGTACTTGTATCCTATAAACGAGAGAATGACTGAAATGTCCAGCGATGTGGAGTCGAAGAAAAAGCTCGCTGCTTTTATCACAGCAGTCTCCAGGAGCGCCAGAAGCAGAGATTTTGTGGTTATCTTCCCAAGCGTTTCAGGTCTAAACTTCCCCTGCACCTCCATCTCGCATGCTATGCACAGGACGTACGTTATAATGGCCATCAGGGGAATGTACAAGTCAGGATGGCCTATTGAAACAGAAGGAATGTCTCTGTCTGTGTACTTCTGCCACATATTGCCATTGTACGGGTACACAATTAGAAATAGTTTGCGGAGTAGGTACGCGTTGTCGATCTGGAAGTATCTTCTGACAGAGTCAAACCGGCTGAAAGACACCGCTCTGTTGATGTACGATGCTCCCAGATTCAGAGCATGTTTCTGCATGTCCATTTGCAGAGTATGTTCCATTATTAATTTTTAGTGGATTTGCAAATTAATTTATAATTTTTGTGTTTCTTGCGAATTATTTTTGTAGAACGCTCTAACTGTCTTCCTAAACACTGCAAAGTGCTCAGACTCTCTTTTTGTTATTTTGTGGAAAGAGTCTGCGATGAACAGATTGTTTCTAAAGAGCCCAAAAACCCGGATGTAGTCGCCTGCTTCTATTTTATTTGGTTTTGTGAACAGAATTTCCGTTTTGTTCTCGAAGTACTCTATTTCAAGCACCGGAGAGACGCGTACTACTTTCCCCAAAATTATTGTTCTTTTTCCAGAGGGCACTCCCTTAGGATAGACCATAAAAGCAGAAAAATAGTTTAAAAATAAATTAAATTCAGATGGTCGCTGAGTGCAATACAAACTCTTAATAACAGGCAGTCGATCATTGAAGCTTCTTTTGATATCTTAATGACTATCCTCTCGCACTTACTCACATTCTCAGTAGTTTATTGCCAGTTCGCAGTTTTAATCTGCTCTGCAATAGTACTCTATAGACATTGAGTGAAATAAATGAAAAGAGAGAAGTGCTAGCTCTAATACTCTTATACTGCTTGTGTGCTACATAGACACGAGATGTGACTTGAAGTCTTGCAAAATAATGGTAAAGTATTTCTGCTCTTTCTTATCTTTTTGTTTGCTCTTTTTTGACATAAATTAACTCTTGTCTATTTTACAACAAAACGCGCGTGGAAAGAGAAGAAAAATGAAAGATATCGTCTGTGAAACTGAAGAGCAGTGCTACATCTCAAGGAGCATAAAACAGAAGCTGATCAAAGTGTTCAGAAACGAAGCGCTGGACGAGGAAGAAATAAGAAGCCTTTTGAGAGTAAGGGTGGTCCGGCCTATTCTCAGAGACTATCTGATGAAGAACGCAGAAAAGTACGACATTTTCAAACTATTGGATGCTTTTCTAGGAGAATGATTGGCCGACAAACTGATAAAAGAAACTGAAATGCGAAATAGTCATGCAAAAGACAGGAAATGCTTTTTTAATTTCAAAGCTGTACATTTTGTTTTTCGTACAGTTTTGTGCCATTGCTCTCTGCTCTGCCGAGCTGACAAAAGAAATATACTATTCTGAGCCTGCTGTGATGCACACGTTCTTGGGACAAATTAAGCCAGGAAGGCTCGAGGATATAAGCGATGAAAACACCAGCGCAGTTGCAAGCATGATGAACTCCTACAAATTAGAAATATGTCTGGACAAGATAATGAGCACAGAAGCGCCAAAAACGATGAAATCTTTCAGAAACTTGGAAAAAGTTGTCATCTATTCTTCCTACACACTCCCATTTACTGTATACAAAAGGCACTTGCTGATAGAAGATAATGTAAGCACGGTTAAAACAGACAAACTCGAAGAGGTGTTGGCCTCTCTGTCGAACAACCACGATATTTGCGAAATAGAGATAAGAAACATGGTCATAAAGAGATTTCCAGCGGTCTTGAAGAAGTTCAAAAATCTCAAAGTGCTGAGGTTCTCGAACATTCACTACTACTACATCTATATTGAGAAGTGGATAAGAAACAAAGAGAACGCGCCAGACTCTATTAACTTTTTCAACGCACTAAAATACTTGCCTGCTCTGGAGCGCGTATACTTTGACCACTGCGTGATAAAGAACTACCAGCAAGACGAGCGAGAAGGCGACAAAAAGGTAAGTAAGCTGAAATCAGCCGAGTTCAGAGACATGAACATCGATGCAGTAAAGCACTTCTTGTGGTTCTACAACAAAAGGGGAATAGATCTGACAATTGAGGGCCCTACAAGGAACACAAAAGAGATGTTTTTGGACCTGGAGGAGATAGCCCACAGCATCAGCAACCTGACTCTGATAAACTTTGACATGAAGATGATAGAAGAGCTTTCTTTGCCATTTTTGGAAAGACTGCACTCTTTTACGTTCCTGCGCATCAGCAACAGCACAGAGCACAGCATAAAAAACATTTCTCCTTTAGAGAATACAAAAATATGGGAGAAAATATACAGCGTAACAGAAAAAGTAACCATAACAGACGAGATATTTTTCAGGCTGAAAATGGTCCCGCTGTACAGAGTGAAAATTTTGACGATAATCAGCAAAGAAACAAACGAAGCGGTTACACTCTCTCTAGAGTCAGTAAATAATGTGAGAATAGCTATGTCCCATCGGTGCACAGTTCCTTTTCTGGAGAGCATTATATCTGATGAGGCACTGGGCGCATACTTCCCCATAGAGAAAAACGTAAGCATCACGCTCGAAGAGCACTTTGGGGCAATAGACGAGCTTTTGCTGGGAATATTAAGAAAGTTTGAGGGCGATGAAATATCAATAGATTTTACAGTGCACTCCTATGTCTACATCAGAGATATGGCAAAAGTCAGGAAAGCCATTAAAAAAAATGCCATGATTAAGATAAACAACGTCTACAAAGAAGTGTTTATGCTGACTGTAAGCCAGAAGTACGCGAATGAAATGTTAGGAGAAGTAGATAATACAAAAAAAGTTGTATGGAAAGTAGATGTGCCTCAGTGGTGATAAATAAAACAATCTATTCACTCATTTTCTTTTGCTTTCCTATCTTTACAGCTTACGTGGCAGAAAAGAACAGGGAATGAATAAATTTGTTTGCAGAAATGGCACAGGACAGCGCTAAAAGGAAAGGGGAATAAAATAAAGAGTTTTTATTTTTACTTTGTGAGAATTGTGCTAATTGTATCTTCCAGAACGTTAAGGATCTCTTCGGCCTCTGCTCTGTGGCTCTTTTTGTCTTCACTCTTTTGAATATTTATGCACATGGTCTCCTGGTCAATGTCTCCTTTTATTTTCTCGTCCAAGATCATTCTTCTCAGTCTATCTTCGATTACGTCTAAATTGAAGTTGAGCACTTTTGCAATGTACTCTATGTTTATATTAGAGTATGGCTCAATTATCTTGAGAATATTCGAGTCAATCAGGTTGTCGCACAGACACCGCAGATGATTGGTCAAAAACTCATCCGATTCAATCAATTTTACATTTTCATCTACAATATCTCTACACTTCCTCAGGTCTCTGTCCAGAACGCACTTGCCTATTTCATACAGCATCTTTATACATGCATCGTCCTTGTGCTGCTGCAGAACGGGCTTATTCTGCGACAGCGACTCTATCTCCACCGCCTTGTTGTTCATGATTTTTATGAGGATCAGGTATCTGCAGCAGAGCACACTCATCTCCTGGTCCTGCGACAGAGTAAACCCGTCAAGCGCTTCTATTATGTATCCCGTGCTGATCGAGTACTCTTTTTCATCTGCTGCGTACATGGCAGAAAGAAGATCGATTTTAGCCTGCAAAAAAGATGGACAGTAGACAAAAGTGGCAGTTGACTTTGACATTGTCAGAGAAGATTTTGCCTTGGAAATGTTTTTTAGTGCGTAAAACACCTTGCTTTCCAGATAAAAAAGCTTGACCAGCCCGAGCTTGTCGTCTGCTCTCTTTAGGACCTTTGCTGTTGTTGAAATGAGCTCAAGCGCTTCGCTGTATTTGCCCATCAAAAGAAGGCCCTCGATCTTTCGCATGTCAAAGTCTATTTTCAGGAGGTTTCTTCTGTTCACCTCTGCCCACTCTATCAGCTTGTTGTAGATTCTTATTCTTTCCTGCAGAGGCGTGCTGTTCTTCTCTATCGCATCGAGAGACTTTTTCAAAAGAATTGCAATGCTTGGCTTTGATATTGTTGAAGCGTTTGCAACTGCGCTGAATAGAGCATCTGTTCTGGCTGAGTCTCCGTCTGTAATGGCCTTCATTAATTCTTTCGTAAATAATTCTACGGCATTTGGACTTTTCAATCCCTCTTCCAATAAGCCAATATCCATGCAAATAAAAAAACAAGAATATAAATAAACACACAGCACTCATTAAAATGGAAGAGAAAATGGGAAACAAAGAGGTGTAGACATCAGAAGATGAAGAAGCGGCTAAGTCTTGAAAATGCAAAGTTCGTTTCTTGAATGTGAAAATCAAAAATAATCATTTGGTCGATGATTCATCAACTGCAGAAAACACCACTCTCCTGCAGGCTGTTCACTCGACACTCTAGCATTTAGCCGTAGAAGAAAGAACAGTTTGATCTTTGCGCTCGAAAGAACTTTTCGGAAAAATAGAACCATCTAGTGTGTCTTAGAAGTAATTAAGTGCTAATAATTTGCAAGAAAAAGTAAAGTTTAAATTTGCTTTGTAAATACACCTTATAAATGAAATGCAGAAAAGTGTAGGGATACCCAGCCAGAGGCAATTAGATGTAAATTATTCAGAAAGTGCAAGCATGATGCACAAAAGAAACAAAATGAATATAAAGTGCAAATGCAATGAATGCTCGTATAAAAATCACAAAGTGTATTGGGTGTGTATAAAATGTACTCTTTATCTATTTATTGTATAGGCTCCATACAAAAACCAAAATTATTGCAGATTTTTACTCTTTATCTTTTCTAACGAACATTGCCATGAAGAAGCCCTTTGTTCCTGTTTCCTCGTCGCAGCGCACAACATTTTCGCTGAACTCATATCCCTCGGCTCCTCTTTTGCTCCACTGCGGCAGCACTTTCTCCAGTGTAAAGTTGCTGTTCGTGTCCAGTACTTGTTTCACAACTCCTTCATTCTCTTCTTCGTAGAGAGAGCATGTAGAGTACACAACCTTTCTTACCTTTGGGAAGCTCAGTGCTCTCTGGAGTATTTTCACCTGAAAAGCGCTCAGCTTGTTCAGTCTGTTGTGGTCTTTCTCTTCGTTTGGGTGTATGCCTGATCCACTGCACGATGGATCGACCAAAATGTATTCTGCATCGAACACTTCTTCGCTCTCTTTTGTGATCGATAGAAAATCAGCATTTATGCTCACAATGTTCTCTGCGCCCGACTTCTCCACCATTTCCCTGAGTATTTTGTACCTGTCCATGTCTTTTTCTATTGCGTATATCTTGCTCTCCGGGGATATCATCGCTAAGTGTGTGGTTTTGTTTCCCGGGGCTGCGCAGGCATCTATCACTGTGCTGTTCCTGGGAGGATTGAGGGCATAGGCTGGGAGACAGCTGGACAGATCCTGGATGAAGAAAAGGCCCTCCTGGTAGCTCCTTAGTTTGCTCCAGTTCACTTTTTCCAGCACTTTGTAGACATTCGGAATTATTGTGCTTTCGGTGGAGAGAGACGAGACAACAGACGAGTCTGCCTTCAGTGTATTGATTCTGATGTATGTATTCGAGGTGTCTTCGTGTTTTTTCTCTTTCTCAACTATTCCGAGAGACTTGTAGATCAGCTTTACCTCTTTTGTCAGTTTTTTATTGAATCTCGTTGATTCTTTCTGGTTTCCGTAGAGAATTTCGTAGCACACAACAACTGCCAGCCACTTGTTCTTCATGTCGTGCTGGATGCCATTGACTACCCGCATCAGAGTGTCGTACTTGCGGAGAATGCTGCTGATAACTGCCATGTATTTTGTGGGCATTTCGGTTTTGTAGCAGGCTGTTTTTATTCCTGTTCTTTTTTCTTTTATATCTTGGAGCATTCTGCTGCATCTTTCATAGAACTTCTTGGTCTCCATGTAAAATTTTTGCTGTTTTTTCTTAAAATCACTCCCCAGAGAAAGCGAGAAATAGAGCTTGAAATTATGCTGGATGTGCTTTTTAATCTACTATCAAACACTAAGAGAATCTTGCCTGCCATTGATAGTCTCTAAAGAAGCAGCCAGTTGTTTGGGACAGTGCAAGCTTAGATAGTCTGTGAATGTTCAATTTATTTTTTCCAGTTTGTTTTTTGCATCTTCTTTGTTTATTTCTTCCACTAGAACAGACTTGCTCTTTGACTTGTGTCCTGATACGATTTTTATTCTGTTCTTTGGGACTTTGAAGAGATTGTGAAGGATCTCCACCACTTCTTTGTTCGCTTTATTCTCCACTGCCATGGATGTGACTGAAATATTTAGGACATCGTCTGACCATGCAATGGAAAACACTTTTGATTTTGGCTTTACTTCGCAGTTTATTATTACTCCTGTTTCGGTCTCTCGCATGCCAGAACAGAAGAGCAACATGAGAAAAATTTCAATAAAAAGCAGACAGCAAGAAAAGTGTGTGGTGCCGCTGGCAGGTACAGTTTGAAATAGTTATATCACAATTTATTGCCAATTTCTACAATTACCACAATAATCATTATCATTTGTTCATCGGTTAGACTGATTATTTATTGCTCAGTAGCAGGCACTTGCTCTGCTGCCTTGGCGTGCACATTCTTGTGTATTGCCAGCCTTCTTTTGTCAGCAAAGGACCTGCTGCAGACATCGCAGGCGTAGACGGTTTCTTCTTGCTCTTTTTTTGATTTGGGCTTTTCTTCGGTTGTCCATCCTTTTGTCTCCAGAAATGCCCCTCCTACGGTTCGTATTAGGAGAGTCGTTTCCTTGTACTTCCTGGTGACTATTCCTTTAAGCTTGTCAACTGCCTCGCTTTGCATCTGGATGACTGCCGATCCTTCTGTTGGTTTCTGTCCTTCTGTTTTTCTCTTTTCTTCCAGCTCGCTTCCCTCCTTCATTAAAAATTTGTTGCTCTTGCCCTCTAAAACAGAGCACAGCACATTCGTTGTGCCAGTACACTGAATATACAAAATACGCCACCTAACAAAAGCAGAACACATGACACACTCAGCACATCTACTATTTGTACGCCTTTATATCTGTCTTACATGTTATACTGTTTATCTCAGATGCTTTGTAATTCTTGCCCTTTCTATCCCTCCAGCATCCTGTAACACAGTGTAATGCTAGTAGAAATGCAATATTTTTGAAAAAGACAGGATATAATGCACAGCGTCAATAAAGTAAAACTGAAAATCAAAACAAACAGAATTCCAATTTAATTTACCTCTCCACTTTGGAAAAGCCTTCTCTTTATGTCGTCTATCTCAAACTCAAATATGTTCATCTCCGTGCCTATGTACATCTGTCTTCCGTCTTCTCCAAATGCCAGCCCAGAAATGTGTTTGTCTCCTCCCGCGCCGCTCACAGCTATGCTTTGTTTTTTGCTGAAATCTCGGACATCGACAACAGTGAAATGCGATACGTGCTCTGTAAACACCAGCAGCCCCATTGAGCTGTCAGGACAGAACTTAACATTTCTGCACGCCCCCTTGACCAGCGACCCCTGGATTGACGGAATTGTTTTTATTTTTCCGTTCATATTCCGTATGTCGTAAACACAAATGTATCCATCTTGCGTGCTTGCAGCCAGGTGGATGCTCGAAGGGCTCCATGAAACCTTGAAAGATGCATCATTAACGGCTTTCAACTTCTTTATTAAAGAATACTTCTCTTTTCCGATCGAGTACAGCGAAATTTCATTCGAGTCTCCAACGGTGGCCAGCATGCTTCCGTCGTAGCTCACAGAGCAGCTGTTCACAGGAGACTGGTGCGTCAGCACAGAGCATCTCCGCATTGACCCAATGGAGTACTCTTTTATCGTCTCATCGTTATTGCAGACGAGAATTCTTTTGTCCCCAAAATGCGAGAATATCTCCAGGCCGTTATTTATCGATCCGCCGGTGGACACTTTTCTGTCAATCCCTGTTTGGATGTTTTTTATGAAAAGCTGGCTTCTCTGGCCGCCTGCTGCCACGATCCCGTCATTGTAGCAGATGGCAGTTGGGTTGAAGAGAAGATTTCTGGACACGCTGTGGGCTCTTTCTGTCTTTGTGTTCAGCATATTGATCGAGTTGCCGTATACATAGAGCACTTTAGATGGCTCGTTTGTCGAAGATATCATATCTCGCAGCTGCCAGTGGTGTATGCTTGTTCTTACCTGGTACTTCTTGTACTCCTCTTTAATGAAGCCAGTGCACTCCCTTAATATCATTCAAAACAAAACACAAACACAGTAGCATAGAAATATTAAATAAAAAGAAAAGAAAGAACAAACAAACCACCACTGGGGCAGCCTAGAAGGGCAGAGAATAGCTGATTTATCAGATAGATTGGGCGGATCATTGGTCTTTTTAGAGCATTTTATCTGTCAAAACTATTTTGTCTAAAATTAAAATAAAAAATAACGGTCAGAAGATCTAGTAACAGCCTAGTAACGGTCTAGTTCTGAACTATTCACTATATTCACTACTTATTACTTGCTTGTTCTTAAGAGTCTGCAGATCTAGTGGCTTTAATAAGCCTTGTCTTGAGTTTTGCTACTAATTCTTCAGTGCTATTTTATCCATTGCTAAATCAATAGGAAATAATACACATATTGCTGGCAGGAATAAAAATAAAATAATTGTTCCAGAAATATTTTGTACTTGTTCACTCTATTGCTCTTACAAAATAATTTTTGTTTGTTTTTGTGCATTTTATTTTGCTTGTTTATGCAGTCTTTGATTAAAGAGGAAATTGGCGTCTCCCTCTCCCAGCAGGAAATGGCAGAGTTCTTCAAGAAACTGTTCCCTATCGGCGATCCTTCCGCACTGGCTGAGACTTTCTTCTCTTCTCTCTCTGATAAGACACCTGAGGGACTGTGCGAGCTAATTCTCTCCTGCAGGAACAGCCGAAGAGAGTTTGCAAAGTGGATATTTAATTTTGTCGTTTTAACAAACACTCCAAAAACAGAAACAGATCCATCAAACGGAGAAAGTGTAGATAGCCCAAATCCTCTCTCCAGCTCGCTCCAAAATATGACAGCAATCTCGTCGTCTTCTCCCGTACCCAGCCCTCCCTGCAGCCAGGACGAGTTTATTGCCTTCTGTCTCTCCTCCAAGCTATTTCTGAAGTCCTGGAACGTTTTAAGACTCTGCGCCTTCTGACTCTGTTACAAATATAAAACATTTCTATTTATTCTTCTCTTCTGCAATTATTATGGCCATTAACGTAACACCGTTCATCTTCCTATTAGACATATGCAGCGGCTTTGCCATGTCTTTTCTGTTCATAGCATACTCAGCGCATGAGCGCATTAACAAACACCCAACCAGCAGACTGCAAATAGTTGACTCCATCAACATTTCTCTTACAGTGGTTCTCAATTCCCTTTTTCTCATGTGGTCCACTGGCTGTCTCCTGGGCAGCTATTTCGGAGTATACAAAATATTCATGTCTCCCATGGGGCAGACCTTCCAAAATCTTCTTACCCTGGAGATGATCATAGACATTGTCCAAAAAAGCATGTGTTTTTTAGTTCTGAGCTTGGCCTCGTTTCAGATGGCCATCCTGGGAGACCACGAGATTCTTGTGCCCTGGGGGAGCACGTGCGCGTTTATTGCTCTTTTCCAGGGGCTTGCCATGTGGGTCATGCTGACCATTTTTAAGGGTCTTTCTGGCTGGGTTATTTTGTACGTTTTCAGCGGGATGGTTTCTCTGAGCATTTTTATTTTCAGCATTCTCACAAGCATTCTCATCAACAGAAACAAAGTGTCAGGTAAGAACAAAATTGCGGGGTATCTTCCAAACCAGGCTGTTTCCTGGAATGTGAGGCTGTGCCACATAATTTTGGCTAGTTCTGTGCTTGATCTCCTATCAAAATCAATTTTTGTGATTTTAGAGATAGGAATAATCTCAATGAACCAGCTGCTGATTGATACGCTTTTGCTGGCGCGGGCTGTTTCATCAATGGCTACTGTGGTGGCTGTTTACACTGCTCGCATACCCAGAGACAAGTCCTACAGCGAGAGAGCTCTTAATTAAGGTAGTTGTTAAATTGGAAATTAATTTCAAAATAAATTGAATTATTAATTCGCAAATAAATTGCATGGATTATTTTATGGAGAGAAGAAAAAGCGTGGAATCTTTTTTGGGCAAATTGGGAGGAGAGCACAGAGGAACAAGGATATTTGTGGGGAATAACTCCTTGGCAGCGTACAAGTTTATTGTTTCCATGCAGGATTTTTCGTATCGAAAGTTTGGGTGCAATGTTTTTGAATTTTACGGGATGGAAAGGCCTTCTGATAGGATCAGCCACAGCAAGTACCTGGATATGCTCACGGGGTATGCAGAAGTGGCAACAGAAGGCACAGAAGATAGTTTTAAGTCCGCTGTAAAAATTTGCGATACAGCTGTCCATTTCAGCTGCGAGTTCGTGTGGCCTGGATGGGGACACGCGTCAGAAGATCCTGCTCTGCCACGGGAGTGTGTGAGAAGAGGGCTGATATTCATAGGGCCCAGCGAGAGCGCAATGGAGCAGCTGGGGAGCAAAATATCAGCAAACGAAGTGGCAGATAAGTTTGGAATAGAAAGCATCCCGTGGATGGAAATATCAGAAGACAAAAATAAAACTTACAATTTTTGCGATAAGATAGGATATCCGATTATGGTAAAATCACCCGAGGGAGGCGGTGGAAAGGGCATCCGCGTGGCTGATTCGCCAGAAGGGCTGGATAAAGCGATTGAAATCGTCAGGAGCGAGTCCAAGAGCAGCGAGGGAGAAGGGAAAGTCTTTGTCACAAAGTATCTGAGAAAAATAAAACACATCGAGCTGCAGCTAGTGGCAGACTCCTATGGTGCTGCGGAGGTTGTGTCGAGCAGAGACTGCACGATGCAAAGAAGAAACCAAAAACTGATCGAAGAAGGGCCTGCAATCATTACCCCCAAAATAGAAGAAGAAATAAAGAAAAAAGCAAAAAAGATGGTGGAGGTGGCAAAGTATGAAAATGCGTGCACCGTTGAGTTTGTGTACGATATGGAAGAAAAGCGCATTTATTTCCTAGAGTGCAATCCCCGGCTGCAGGTTGAGCACACGGTCACTGAGCTGCTAACAGGAAGCAATTTGTGTGCAGTCCAGTGGCTCATATCCTGTGGTGTAAGCATAGCTGAGCTAAAAAAGACGGGAATATTGAAAATATTTGGGGGAGGAAAACACGTGGTGGGTGCCCGTGTGATAGCCGAGTCGGGCGAGTGCGGATTTATTCCTAGCACAGGATCTGTCTTTGTTTCCTCTGGGTTTCAGATGGGGAGCGTTGGATACTTTTCTGTGGACTCGGGAAGTATTACGCCGTACAACGACTCGCAGTTTGGCCATGTTTTTGGAATTGGAGAAACAAGAGAAGAGGCTGTTTCTGCGCTGAAGATGGCTCTTTCTTCTGTTAAAGTAACAGGGGAAGTAAAAACATTAAACCATTTTTTGTGCGACTTAATAGAGACAAAGGAGTTCATGGAAAATGGGCACAGCACGCAGTCTGCAGAGAAGTTTCAAAGAGAGTGGAGCAAGCGCGGAGAGGTAGACTCATTTTTAGTGCTGTGCTACTGTGCGATCTCCGCAAATAGGAAGAAAAGCAGGAAAGAGAGCATGAACTTCCAGGTGAGCGGTGTGGATATTAGTGCAGCTGTCACACAAGTGGAGGAGAGTATTTACTCGGTTGTGATAAACGAGGGAGTCTCTGTGCTCGAGATTGTTCCGCTCTTTGACGACAAGTACAGGGTGAAAACGGAAAAGGGAGAGATAAAAATTATCTATTTTTCAAAATCAAAGATATTCACAGAGATCAGAACTGACAAGAAAACTGTGCGGTTTACAGAGAATAGCACAGGGAACATGGTGCACTCTACAGTGCCTGGGCGCATTGTAAGGATCCTCAAGACAGACTATGTGAAGAAGGACGAAGAGTACTTAGAAATCGAAAGCATGAAAAACCTCATACTCATTAAGTCTCCAAAAGAAGGCAAAATAAGCTATAAAGTGGAAGTGGAGGAAATCGTGGAGATAGGCGATGTTATTGCAGAGATAGTGGGAAGCGAGCTAAATAGCTCGGTAGAGTACACGGACAAGATAGTGTACAGAAACACACATAGAAACCTGACAAAAAGTCTGCTAAAAGGGTACGAAGTGCCAGAAGAAGTGCAGTCGTACGATAAAAGTGATATTTTATTGATACTTAAGGCATACTGTGAGGATGATCAAATGAATAGTGAATACTTGGATGAGTATGTGGTGAGAAGCATACAGGTACTGAGAGAGTCCAAGGATAAAGAGAGCCTGGCTGAGTTCAAAGATGTCCTGAACAGAATAAAGTACAGGATAGCTAGAAGAGAGATACTTAGAGAAAACGTGAAAATAGTGTATGAGCTGATGGATATAATTGAAGGTGTAGAAAGAATGAAAGAGCTAGAGAAAATGAGAGAGTTGGTGAAAGAGCAGGGCTTGGAGAGTGCTCTTGAGAGTAATAAGGTTAGTCCACGCATAGACGACATTCTGCTGCTTCTGTCTTTGGAAGAAGAAGACGCGGAGAGAAAAAAGAAAATACTCATAGCATGGGCTGTGGGCATTTTTGATGCAGAAAATAGCGATAAAACAGTTGAGGTGGAACTTTTAAAAAAGAAAACAAAAATCATTGTCAAATCAGGCGAAATAGTGCAGACACTCAATATTAAACAGAGCACAAAGGAGAGTGCAGATACAGATAGTGTGCCAGAAGAGGACACAGCGCCAGATGGCAGTGAAGAAGATAAGAACAGCACGCTGATAGAAATAGAAGGCACGAATGTATCGTACAAAAGAGAAAATGGAGGTTATGGTGCCCTCTATGAGAACATGGACATAAGAAGAGTGGAGGCACACAGTTCGATACTTCCTACAGAAATAACAGACATTCCTAACATCGCTCTACATTCAGTTCTATGGAACAGAAGAATGTCGGTTTATACCACAGATGAAATAGTCGTAGTATACTGTTCTATCTTTAAGGATGAGTTCTGTAGCACAGCCACAGTTAGTGAGCTGGTTAATGAGATAGTTTCGGCATATTCCCTAACTAGTTTTTCACTGCCAATGACCGTACGAGTGCACATTCTTGATCCACTTCCTTTTTCAGAAGAAAAAATATCGTACATCAAAAAAGAGATAACAAAAGCGTGTTTTGAAACAGAGAAATACGACATACAGTATTTTATCACGGGAATCTTCGAAAAAGAGAGTGCGGCTGAATTATTCACGCAGGAGATCCGAATGGACCGAGGATTCAAAGAGTCTTCTCTCTGGATAAACAATGTGCAGAGTTTCTACATAATAGACTCGCACGATATTGTGAACACGCAGGCAAAGAGCGAAGTAGGTCCCCTGTTCATGCCAGAGTCCTCTGAGAGTGTGCGCACTTCAAGGGCCAAGGCCAAGTCGCTGAATACCATATACATATACGACGCAGCTCTTCTGCTCAGCATTTTCATCAAAGAAATCGATCAAAGCTGCGAAATCACAAAAATAGAAAATCAGAAAAATGCAGCTATCAGCGGATGGCGGTTTAAAAGTGCAATGTTTGATTTTATATTCGTAGGAAATGACATCACAGTGAAGAATGGCGCATTCTCCATCGATGAAGACAACTACTTCTCAGAGTGTGCTAGCCTCTCAATGGATAAGAAAATACCGTTTATCTATGTGTCCAGCAACTCTGGAGCGAAAATAGAAGTGCTAGAGTCCATCAAGCCGCTGATAAGGTACTCAAATGAGTCAGGTGCAATATACATGGAAAAAGAAGAGTACGACTCCCTTCCGAATAAGTCTCTCATTGAAGTAAAAGAAGTAAAAATGAACAACAAAATTTCGTACGAAATAACTGACATAATAGGAGAGTATGGGATGGGCGTAGAGAACCTGTCTTATTCAGCGCAGATAGCTAAAGACATGGCCACCCTGTACGAGACAGTTCCTACAATCACTTATGTCACAGGACGAGCCGTGGGAATAGGCGCATACCTAGCGAGCATTGGCCGCCGAATAATCCAAAAAACAAACTCACCAATTATTCTCACGGGGTTCCAGGCTCTGAACAGCCTTGTGCAGAAGGAGATATACAAGAGCAACCTAGAAATAGGAGGCCCTTCAATCCTTGGGAAGAACGGAGTTGTCCATAAAACAGTCCAAACCGACTCCTCGGGCATCCAGGAGATACTTACCTGGCTAAAATACCTTCAAAATCAAAATTCATCAAGATCAAAAGTTTTATCAGATAAAAACATAAAACCCATCGACACCGAGCAGCTCGAACTGCTCACACCTGATGAAATCATAAACTACATCTCAGACGAGAACGCGTTCACCGAATATCTGGCAGAATGGGCGCCGAATGTAAGGGTGGGAAGGACTATAGTAGACGGCATTCCATGCGGTGTTATTTTCCCAAGAACAGGCACCGTGCATTCGCACATTCCTGCACCTGCAGCTGTGAACAAAGGATCCAACCCAAGCGAAGTATTTCAGACCATTTGGACCGAGAATGTTCTCCTTCCAGAGTCATCCAAAAAAATAGCACAGTCCATAGAAGATTTTTCGCTGGAGTCATTGCCCATTTTGATTCTTCTTAATTGGAAAGGATTTTCAGCTGGGCACTTGGACATGTTCAACGGGATTCTTCAGAATGGCTCGGACATAGTCAGAAGCATGGAAAAGTCTCAGTCGAAAATGTTTGCATACTTGCCCCCGCACTCGGAGCTCAGAGGCGGATCGTGGGTTGTGTTCGACAAGAAAATAGGAAATAGAATAAAATTCACAGCCCATCCCACGGCCAAAGGGAGTGTGATACATCCAGACGGCCTGTCCAAGATAAAGTGCAAACAGGCTGAGCTGTCATCCACTTTAGACCTGTCAGATATCCCATTTTCAAAAGTAACTGCATCTAAGCTGGCAAAAACCTTTTGCGCTCTTCACGACTCTTCCCAGAGAATGATCAAAATGAAAGTGATAGACGAAATAGTTAATGTGTCCGAGCTAAAGTCTTCCATTGTACAATATTTCAAAGAATAAAACTCTACACATAAAAATATTTACATCTTCAATTGTTCGCTAATTATGTGGTGATTGATCCATTTAGTTATTTATTTTTATATGAGCTGCTTGTATAACTTATATAACTCAAGAGAGTTAATTTAGTTTACGATTATTCGGTATTCCACCAGGAAAAATAGACCAGTTAAATGGCAACACATGTAGGGGAAATGAGAGCACAGCGGTTGTTGTTTGAGCACCAATCAATTGCCTATGCGAATTCATCAATAGAAAGCGTTTACTCCGTAGAAAAGAGCAATTAAATATAAAAGGGAATTTTTTAATGTATCTATGATTTTGCAACGGATACTGAAGAAAACAGTAGTAGGAATAGTTGCACTGAGCTATTTGCAAAGGTCTAGCTGTGCAGATAAAGAAATGATAAGTATAAGAGATTATTGGGGAAAAAATATAGATTGCATGAAAAAAGCGATCAGGGTTCGTCTTGGCTTGCTTGACGAGATAAGGTCTATCTGTGAAGAAGAGCCATCTGATGTTCTCAGTAAAAGTCTAAAAGAAGGAGAGGCAAATATGTCTAACATAAAAACAGATTTTTTGACTCTTTACTTAAACACAGAGTCTATACTAGAAAAGATAGAATTGCTAGATTATTTAAGTAGAAGCGGTGGATCAGATAAAGACGCAGACCATCTATATGAACAAATAAGGAAGCTGCTTGCATCGAATCTTGATGACAGTGATTTAGCATGTGATCGAATACACAAGTTTGATTCTCATATGTTGGATGCAATTGGAGAGTACAGCAGCCAAATGAATAACACAGATGTAATACTACAGGAGCTAACCTTGTTTAAGCTAGCAAAGAGCAATAAGCCTTTTGCCGTGGATATGCTATACGCTCTTATTAGAGCAAAGGCATATAAACCAGGCTATGTTGTTGAAGACACACTGAATTATATAGGCCATGAAATGAGAGACTATCTTTTTTCCATGGATTTTGAAAGCTACAATAGCGCTATATGGGATGATGTAGATAAAGGTGAGTTCAATCTATTTGCATCAGCAGATAAACATTTCTCGCTACTATTTACAAAATATGGAGCTGACAAAGAAGTAATGGACATCTATTTTGACCTAATCAAAGAAGATATTTCTGAGGAAGAAGCAGATAAGTACATGGATATTACGCCAGGGCAGATCATAAAACTGATATTGATAGAGATGGCGATGAACGCAGATCTTATGGACTACAGAACAAACAGTTTGTTCTGCAACCTTGGAAAGATAATAGTGAGAATAGGAAGAGCAGCTAACGGTAATAGAAAAAACAAAAAAAAAGGTTTAAGAATAATAATAGAAAGAAGAGATAGAATTCTTGAAGCTTTAACCCTTCTGTGGAATGATTGCATTGAAATTAATAAAGCTACAGTTAAAGAAAGCATTGAACTCTTCTGTAGAGATAATAATATTGAAATCGACCGTTTTGAAAATATACAGAAAGATTTTTCGTCTGCTAAATGGATGTATAAATTAAAAATAGCCAATCCAACAACAGAAAAGATCGACGCTGAACCAAAATTGCTCAGAAAACACTACTTTGCTATGTCCTGCACTCATCCTATGTACTATTTGTATCAGCAATGCGAAGATATTAAACATTTGGCGAGAAAAGATCTCGAGTCCAACAAAGAGCTTCTTATAGAAAGAGACTCAGATGGTATTTTTATATTCAGGATATATAAGATAGGCAATGGCGCTATTGACAATTTAGAGAAGGCACATATTATGAAAAACTGTATTAGGATATGGTTTGAATATATTATTAAAATTTTCTATAGAATAGAAGATGGTAAAGAATATAGTTTTGTAGCCTATGATTTTGAAAGATATTTGAATCAATCACAATATGTGCTCAGAGCAAAAGCGTATACTACTGACTCTTTAGAGAAGCCAAACTTAAAGAGAAAGGCTTCAAATAGTCCAACTTCCACAAAAAAAATATAGAAATTAAGACAGAGACAATAAACACACATTATCCACTTGTTCCTATGCGAAAACTTTTATTTCATCAGACAATATGTTCGCCAGAATGCGTGAGGAGTAAGGTCATAACCGAACATTATAAATAAAAAAATGATATTTTCAGCATGAAAAATCAGGAAATGAAGAAAATACTGAATGCGGTAAGCATAGCACTTGTTTTCTTCATCGCAAAGTGCAGAGGCAGCTGGAACACTTTTAGTGGGAGCTTGTACAGCAGTGCAGATCCATCCATAGAAGGAAACAGTGCAGTGAACAGAATAATACACCAACTTACCCATCCTGAACAGTATATATTAGCGAATACTATGCATGGAAGTATCTCCAATCCTACACACGGCATGCCTAGGACACCAAAACAGGAAGATGGAACAAACACTCAAGATTTCTCTCTTTTTAATCAATACCAATGCAGTCTAAGCCAGAATAAACAGAAGTCTTGTGCAGAGCAGCTGAAAATAGAAGAAGAATCTAGACAACAGCAGCACATAGCACCTCCTACTGCTGATATGAGTGTGTTTAATGTGCCACGAGCTACAGTTATTATTTCCAGAAATGGAAGCCAAATGGTGGGCGAAAAGAGCCCATTTCTTGGCTATTTTGGGACAGATGCGAGCAGTAGTAGAATATGCAATCCACCAAAATCGACAGAAGCATGGAAAGATATGTACCTCCCATCCTCGCAAATTGCAGGAGGGCCTAGTACAAGCGGTGTTTCTACTTCTGGAGAAAAAAGAAAAGCAGAAAAGATGGATATTTCTACAGAAGCTTCTGCCTTTCAGCCTGCAGCAAAGAGTAAAAAAAAAGAGACGGCCCCGCAGTGTGAGCCATGCTCTTCTACAAATGCAGCAAAAGAGCGAAAGAGAATAAAAAATCTCAATGTAAAAACATGGAACATGGCAAGACTCACTAATAAAAGAAGAGAGAACTACAAACTATACCATCAAACAGTGTATAACTGCAAGCACGGTAACTTCTACAACTACATGTGGTATGAAATAAAAAAAGACGCGTATGAAAAAACAATGAGAGAAGATATAGAAAATTTCTCTGATTTGATTGCCCCCGCAATAGAGCAGAATACACTGTGGTATTTCATTGCAAGTAGGACTATAAACGTAGTCACAAGACACAGAGACCTTTTGTGGCTGGATAAACTGATAAGTGATAAGGATGCTGGCCGGCTTAGAAAATCAATAGAAAGCTTTAAGGGATACTATCCTGGAGTGGTTGAGGAGATGCTAGCATACATGGAAAAACACAAGCCATTGCGAGTTATCAAAAGCTATCCCACAACTACATGGAATGAAACGCTAGGAGATATATATTTGCCAAAAAGCCTAGATCTAAAGTATGAGATGGTGAAAAACCAAGGTAAAATTAGCCAGGTGGAAAATAAGTATTCAGCACTGGCCTATGCTCTGCGCATGATTCTAGCATTGTCTGAAGTGCACCAAGACTTTTCACAGATCACCATTACTCTCATAAAGAACAGCAAAATCCTTAAAAGCGCCTCTAAAAATGAAAGAGCGCAGCAAGTTCTGCTGTCCATACACACAATAATAAAGAAGTTTGCAGAGAACCACGAAAAAATAGAAAATGAATACAAAAATATTTATGCGGCTCTTGAGACCATATACGAGAGAAAAGCACAGAAAAAGCCAACAGTGTCAGAGCTATATAAGGAGATATACATACTTCTTGCAGAGTTCTATGAGAAGGTAAAAGTCTTTGACATCAACAGCCATGTTTTTGCAGGAAAGTGTGCCATAAAGCATCAAAAGTACGTTAGATGTGAGGCAACCTTGGTATCTGCCTCAAAAAAGTCCTGTGAAAGAGTTAGCGACCCTAAATATACACTTGATCTGAAAAAATGGGGCATTTCGCCTGATGTAAAATCACACTATCATGTTTACTATGTGAACAACACAACCCACCAGTCCAGAAAACTGTGCATGCCCATATACAAAAGAGACGAGAGCTCAGAAGAACAGTACATACATACAATTGATGGCATACTAAGCTATATAAAGGAGATATATGAAATAGAAGAGAATCCCTGGGCTATACATCCTTTCAAAGTGGACATAAAAACGAGAAAGTGGTCGTATATTAAAGATGAGGAGAGAAATCTAACAGCAAAAGACCTGAAAGGATACCAGGTAGTGTTTTATCGCATTGATGAAGACATAGCAACGGCAAAGTTTACGTTTGCAGAATTTAGGCCTTTGATCCAGCATAGCGGCAATAGCATTAGTATACCTCTGTTTCTCACTCCTCTGATGCGATCTGCCATAGATCTAGGGCCTTTTACTGAAAAAGCCAAACACAAAGAGATAAATCTAACGATAGATTTTGAGGATGTGGAGCCTAGTGTGTACAATTTTAACAATATCTATATATACGAAGAGTACTCAAACATACACACATACTACAGCAACCTATGCATACTTCCAGAGGAGGAGAAGGAAGAGTCTCTCGACTGCTACATCATGGACTATCAGGTGGTTGAAGAGGATAACACTAAAAAAGCCGTGTGGTATGTGAATATGACGCAGGGTGCAAATGCATATACACACTGTTTACTTGACAAGAGGTTCAAAGAAAAAGAAAATTCAAGAAAGCTCAATAGTTTTATCGATGCACTGGAGTCAAGGAAGTACAACAAGGGAAGCGATCTGCAAAGCATTTGGCTGACAGATGATACAGAAGACAGCGAGTCAGAAAAAATACATACGTGGCTGGTGAAAGACCAAGAAAAGAGCTATGTAACTAAAGAGAACATTGAGACAATTATGGGCGTGATAGGAAAAGAAAAAGAAAGGGTTAAAAAAGCAGAGGAAAACTTTGGAAAAGCAGACAAAGAGCTAACTGAAATAAAAGAATCAGGCAAAGGAGATGAGAAGAAGACAAGAAACAAAAAGAAAGCAGCAATCAGCGCGAAATACAAAGCAAAAAAGCATCTAGAATCTTTATACAAAGAGCTGCACGATGCAATGTCTGAAAGGTCAGATAAACACGCAGATTTTATAGTGCTCCGCAATGTGAACAGCAACAAGTCTAACCTGGGGGCACACAACGAGATTCTTGATGTTTTGATCTCAGTCTACAACCTTTGAAGGAAATCCATAAAGAATAAACAGAGTTTGGCTGAATGAATGTATGCTGTTGTTTTATAGTGTTTTAAATGGTAGTATATTAGCAGCTTGTTAGTGCAGTGCATGTCTTTTCATCAGATACTAATTGTTTATTTGTGCTGTAAAAAGTAGTATTTAGAACAGAATAAAACTAAAAAAGAAAATAAAAGCTAAGTGTACACAACTATGTAGAATTTACTTTTTATTTTTATTGTCAATAGTTAAGAGTATTTGAAAAATGATTAAGCAAGGAATATAGTAGTGCAATAAAGACACTGTAAAGATGTTCTTGCTAGACTATAGACCAATCATGCAGCAACAAACATATAGGAGAATGAGATTGCAGCAGTTGTTTTTGAGCACCAATCAATAAGTCTTATGAATTTACCAATTAAGTGTGTTTACTCCGTACAAAATGCAGCAATTAAATACAAAATAATTTTTAAAAACTCATCTATGATACTGCAAAAAACATTCAAACAGATAGTAGTAGGAATAGCTGCACTAGCTTATTTCCAAAGTGCCACTTGCAGCTTAGAAGAGAAAGACATGCAAAAGATAAGAGACTATTGGGCTAAAAGGTCAAATGTGATGAACAAAGAGATTCAGACTCGCAGTGATTTTCTTAACAGAGCAAATTCTTTTATCAATGATGCAAAGTTATCTCCAGCCTCCAAAAAACATATGGAAGAAGGAAGAGGGAGCCTATCAGAGATAGAAACAAGATTTTTAGCTCTTGATAGAAACATACACGCCATAGCAGAAAAAACAAAAAAATCGACAAGTCTACACAGCAGTAGTGAATTTACCCAGGGAATGAAAAAGTCGCACGATAGCTTGGATAAGCTCCTTCTGAAAACTCTTGACGACAGTGATTCAGTGAGAGAAGGAATAAGAAAGTTTGATTCAAACATGCTGAAAGTAATAGAAGAGTGCAGCAGCCAAATGAAGGACACAAGCATACACGACCTAACTCTGTTTAAGCTAGCAAAGAGCAACAAGCCTTTTGCCATGAACATGATATACACGCTTTTCAAGATAAGTCCATTTAAACCAGGCGTTAACATAGATGACACAGTGGATTCTATTTTCAGAACATTCTCAAGCTACATTGATGGGTTTGACTTCAGTTTTTTGACTTACAAAAAAGCCATAAAAAATGAAGTAAAACAAGGTAAAACGGATCTGCTAATTTTAGCAGATAAGTATCTTCACTTACTGCTAACCACAAACAAAGATGTGATGGTCATTTATCTTGATCTTCTAAAAGAAGATTATTCTGTTGAAGATCGGGACCTAAAAATCACGCCAGTCCAGTTTATGAAGATGATAATAATAGAGTATATAATGTCGGGGTGTTTTATGGACTACAGAAGAAACACTTTGTTTCTCAATCTTGGAAAAATAATAGAAAGCATAGGAAGACCAGCTAATAGCAGCACAGAAAAAAGCTCTGAAGACATAGAAGAAGCAAGAAGAAAACAGAATAAGATACTTGATGTGCTGAGCATGGCGTGGAGTGACTATAGTGTACCTGGGACAACTATAAGCTTCAGAGAGGTCGAATCCTTCTACAAGGAGAAAATTATAGAGTCCACTGACATCAGAACTATCCAGATCGATTTTGCATCAGCTGCATGGATGTACAAACTGGATATAGCCAGCCCAACCAAACAAGAGCTAGCCAGAGACCCGACATTGCTCAAAAAAGTATGCTTTGACATGTCTTACATCCACCCCATGCGCTATATTTATCAGAGATATAAGGATGTAAGCCGGTTTGCAAAGAAAAATCCAGAAAACAGCGGCAAACTTTTTGCAGAAAAGTATTCAAATGGCATTGTTACATTCAGAATGTGCGAACTAAGCGCAAACGACGACGATCTTGTGCAGGCAGAGATGATGAAGAGCTGTATTAGAGCATGGTTTCTAGAGTCCATTGTGCTTATCAGCAGGAGAGAAGACGGCCAGGAGTACCGTGACGTAGTTTATGATTTTGACAGATATTTGAATAGATCGCACTACGTGAATGAAGTGACAATAGCACCTAAAGAGCTAGCCGAAACCAAGGGAAAGAAAGGAAGCTCTTTGCAAAATAGTCAAGTAGAATCTGACGAGGAAGACTTTGAGGTAGTTCAGTCGCCGCAGATTTACTAAGCCACTCATAGCAAATAAAAGCTGCCATTTGATCCTTCTTTTCTACTAGTAGTAGCTGCCCTCATTTTTATTCATCTTGTGTTCTTATGGCTTATATAAGCATGTGCACAGGTATGTTGAAAGTTATTTAAATTTTTAGAACTCTAATATTTATTTTTCCTATGAGGCTGCGCAGTTGCCATTAAATAAATGGTAAAGTTTTCATTTGGTCTACATAGGCCAAGGATAGTATGAATTGTGCAGCTGACTGTCATTCCACCAGTAAAAATAGATCAATTATATGCAAACAAATGCCTAGGAGAGATGATATTGCGGCGGATGCTGTTTGAGTACCAATCAGCTGGCCTCATGAATCAATCAATAGTATGGTTTACTCCGTGGAAATAGAACAATGAAATATAAAATCGCTTTCAAAAGCTTATCTATGATTTTGCAGCAGATACTGAAGCAGATAGTAATAGCAGTAGCTGTGCTAGCTTATTTTCAAGGATTTAGCTGTTCTGTAGAAAAAGATGAGCTAATGAGCATGCAAGCTTACTGGAACAAGAAAATAGAATGGTTAAAAGAAGAGGTTTCAAACCGTAAACATCTTCTCGATAGATTGGAGGATTTAGTAGCTAGAACAACCCTTTTTTATGCTTTTATAGAAGACATAGAAATAAAAAGAGTGGCTCTATTCAATGTAGAAACAGCAATTGCAACTCTTTGCAAGAGCACACAATACATAAGAGAAGAAGTAGACGGGCTGAAAAATCTACGGAACAATAGACAACCTGATGATGTAATAGAATATGTTCACACAAAAGCAATAAACTTACTCCCAAAGCATCTTGACGAGAGTGATGCTGTAAGTAAAGAAATGCAAACGTTTGATTCATCTATGCTGATACTGCTGGAAGGATACATAGGAGACATAAACAGAAAAATTTGCAATTCAGTACTGTTCAGTCTGGCAAAGAAGAACTGCTCACTGGCCATCAATATAGTGTATGCTTTTTTTAGCATAGCGCCATGCGGGGGCGACAATCTAGAAGACAGATTGTTCTATATATACGAAAAAGTAGAAAAGTATGGTTTCAAGACAAATTTAATACACTATAGCGATGCGATAAGAAAAGAAGCAAAAGGGCAAGCAATAGATCTGCTAAAAACAGCAAATACATATCTTCACATTCTATTCAATACAATTGAAGTGTGCAGAGAAGAGATATACGCTTATCTCGAACTAACAGAAGAGAACCTTACGGCTGAAAAGATAAACAAACATTCGAACCTATCGCCTGCGGCTATTATAAAAATAATAATGATAGAGTACGAAATTAACATAGGCGGGTGTCTTATGAACTACAGAAAGAACGTTTTATTTTCAAATCTCGGAAAAATAATCCAGAATGTGTACGACAACGGAACAAAAGAGCAACAGAATAAAATACTTGATGCTCTAAGCATGCTCTGGAGCAAGTGCGAGGAACAAGAAAGAAACGAGCGCGTTGAAAAGATTATAAAGTTCTGTAGAGACAACAGTATACAATATCTTGACTTTGTAAATATGAAATACAGCCTTATGACCACCAGCTGGATGTTTAATATTGATAAAACAAAGCCAACAAATCCAGCAAATGGCCAGGAGATAGCCAACAAGGCGTGCATTGACATTACTTATACGCATCCTCTGTTCTATTTGTATAAAAGGTGCGAGAGAATTAGCCATTCTGTCAAACAAAACCAGTCCCTTCAAGACAAGCCTTTTATAAGGGAAGAGTCAAGCGGTGACGTTAGACTAAGACTGTACAAAATAAGTGAAAAAGACAGTGAAGCCGTTCAGACAGAGAATATACAAAGCTGTGTTAGGCTGTGGTTCTCAAATGGCACACACGTCAAGATCTTCTTTAAAAGTGAAGAAAAAGACGATTACAAGAGTATAGCTAGAGATTTTCGAAAATATTTTAACGAATCACGATATACAACGTCTGACACAGCAATAAAAGAGGAATAACTGTAGAGGTAGCAGAAGCTAAAGCCAAAGCAGACAGTTCTTTGGAGAATAGTCAAATGAAAATAAAGAAAAAAGCCTTTGGTACTTCAGATAGCACACAGGCACTGGGCTAGTCTCTGCCACAAAATAAATTCAGCATTTGGCCAGCATCTTTTACTACACATCATTCAATGTTCTTGTTTGATTTATAGGTATAGTGCTCTAAAGTTTACTGTTAAAACCAGTGAGAGTTTGTAGATTTCAATTATTTCTACCGTACAGCTATTGGAATGGATAAAAAGAAAAATCTTTTTCTTAAATGGGCAGGATTGAAGATCTCTGGAGAAAGTAGAAATAGCCAAGTATAAATAGTGAAAATATTTAATTTTTATGATCCTAAAACGAGCGCTGAAACAGGTAATGGTAGTAGGAGTGCTTGCACTGGCCTATCTACAACAGGCTAGCTGTGTACTAACAAAAAGCGACATAGAGGGGATAGAAAGATATTGGACTGAGAGAATAGCCTATTTTGGCACAGAAATTACCCTGCGCTGTGAATTCTTTGCAAAAGTTAGAACTTTTAACTCCAATGATCTGGCACTAAACTTGAATAGCTTCTTAAAGAAGAAAATGGAGACGGAAAAGACAAGCATGGACGCCATCATGGAAGAGTTTCACAGTTTTGAAGAAAAGGCTGACAGAGTCATAAAAGTAGCACACCAAACACTACTTTTATATAAATTTATAGATGATCCGAATTTCAGTTCTGGGAAAGAGGAAGCAGAGAAAATAATCCAAACAGAGATTAAAGCAAATGAGAAAGATTTAAAGGAGCTGATCACGTCAGCCCTAGACATCAGCACTTTGTTAGCCAAGAAAATAAACAAGTACGATTCGCACATGATAGAAGTGGTAGAGGAAAGCTTTGGAATCAGAAAAGAGGATATTGAACAGCACAATCTGGCTCTGTTCAAGCTGGCAAAGAGCAAGATCGTAGCTGCTGACATAATCTACACGCTCGCTGAGACAAACCCATCTGATCTACGCAATGACAATAGAAAGAAAGAAGTGGTAGCGTATCTACACGGGAAAATATCAGCGAGTGCTATTTCAAAGAACAATGTAGAGCTCTTCGTAAATGCCATAAGAAAAGATGTAATGGATAAAGACATGAACTTGGTGCTATCAGGCAGCAGACACTTTTATTTACTATTCAATATATGCCCAGCAGAGAAGTCTAGCGTACTTCTAGCAGACGATGAAACAATGGATCTTTATGCCAGCTTGCTCAAAGAAAATATTTCAGAAGAAGAAGTGAAAGAGCACACAGATATAACATATGTACAGGTTATGAAAATAATAGTGATAGAATATATAATGAGTGGACATCTTATGGACTATAAAAGCAACACTATGCTACGCAATCTAGGAAGAGTGATAGAGAGCACATTTGACCCAACAGAGTATAACAAGACAGGCGCTGAAGGTTTTAGAATAGAACAGTCAAAACAAGATGAAATAATTTGGGCTCTGCATTATATATGGGGTGACTACAGCTCCAGTTGCAGACTTCAGCGAACTACTGAATTATGCAGAAAAATTGGCATTAGTTCTTCTGAATTTTACAATATGCACTCTAACTTCTTATCCGTTAAATGGATGTATGAAGGAGCTATGGCTCCGTCAGCTGGCTCAGATGCTCAGAATACAGAAGACTTGGCAGTACCCCTTGATATGTCATATGCTCACCCAGCATGGTATGTGTGCAGACGGTGCAAGTACATTAGCCACTCCAATGATGATCGAAGCAGCAATTTCAGTCTATTTTCTGAAGAAAAGCCAGGCAAATTTACATTTAGACCGCATGCAATAAAAGCAACTGATAACGAGCTGGTGTGGGCAAAGTACATGAAAGACTGCATTGAAGCATGCTTCTCGGGCTGCATAAGAGTTATCAAAAGAGAAAAAGATGGCGCTGTGTATTCCAGAATAGTTGATGACTTTTATAGAAGTTTAAATGTTTGCCATTATAAGGATATGGCATTAATAATAAACTAAGAATCCGAGCCTATTTGCTGAGACGAGTCTCTTAGTAAAGCTTTAGCACTTTTCTACTGTTTTAGCCCGCGGTTATTAGCCGTTTAGCAATAAATAAAATTTACTATTTAACTATTCTCTTCTTACTTGTGACAGACATTCTCGTGCTAATTTATGTTACAATATTGCATACATGTAAGTGCGCTTCTATGAACACTATTTAAATTTTTAGAAACTCTTATGATTATTTTTATATAAAGGCATGTATATCTAATTGCTTACATAGCTGCGTAATCAACAAATTCTATGATTGCTTAGGATTCCACCAGGAAAAATAGACCAGTTAAATGGCAACAAATACAGGGGAAATGAGAGCACAGCGGTTGTTGTTTGAGCACCAATCAATTGCCTATGCGAATTCATCAATAGAAAGC